TTTGCAGTTTTGAGAAAACCATATAAATTGGTGACAAGACAATTTCATTTTCGAATTCAGGGCCATTGAAAACCTATATGTGCGTATTTTCATGAGGGTCCGTTGGTCCGTATCCGCACAGCCCGAAAAAGTTGGATTTTCAAGCGCGTCATAATGATACGCCACCCCCTATTTTTTATCGGTCCTTTGAACGACTTTTTTTTTATTTAAGGACTAAAACGCAAGAAAAAGGTCTAAATATCCAAAGTAAAACAAGTTTGAATGCAAGAACACGACAAATTCAATGATTAGTAGTTCCTCCATAGTTTTGGATCACTTCACATATTCGGTTTTTATTCTGTCGGTGAGTTTCTTGAGGTATGCAGCAGACCGACTGTTCCATTCCCGTCTACTTGCGGCCTTCAGCTTATAAAAGGTTGGCATTCTGCTTGCCTTGTACGCGAACGAAATGGGCAAGAAGTCTTCAGACGTTTTCGATGGGATTGAAGTAGGGGAGCTGGCTGATCCATCCAAAAGTTTGATACTAAAACCAATTGAAGATGCTGTAGCTCTTGTGAATGACTGGATTGTCTTGTTGAAATTCGTGAAACAAATTTTAAAGCAATTTCGTAGTTCCGTATACAGTTAGATTTTTGAGAACGTCCTATACCATCCTTAATCGGCTTGACACTCTGCTTGAGTTATACCATAATGCCAATGTGAGCTTTCTCCTGTGAGCTAATGTGAGAGATTTTCCGCGGCCGATGATGATGAGAAGAATAAGTGAAAAATTATCGGTCAGGCTGTCCGCACACAGAATGCAAGCAGTAGCTTGCCAACCTTTTATGAGCTGAAGGCCGCAAGTAGACGGGAATGGAACAGTTGGTCTGCTGCATACCTCAAGAAACTCACCGACAGAATAAAAACCGAATATGTGAAGTGATCCAAAATTATGGAGGGACTACTAATCATTGAATTTGTCGTGTTCTTGCATTCAAACTTGTTTTACTTTGGATATTTAGACCTTTTTCTTGCGTTTTAGTCCTTAAATAAAAAAAAAAGTCGTTCAAAGGACCGATAAAAAATAGGGGGTGGCGTATCATTATGACGCGCTTGAAAATCCAACTTTTTCGGGCTGTGCGGATACGGACCAACGGACCCTCATGAAAATACGCACATATAGGTTTTCAATGGCCCTGAATTCGAAAATGAAATTGTCTTGTCACCAATTTATATGGTTTTCTCAAAACTGCAAAATTTGGGGGTGGCGTATCATTATGACGCGCACTGTATATATATACGATTTATTTATTCTAATTGGAAACAACAACCGGTCGAACAAAACAAAAAATAGAAATTAATCGAACTGAGTGAATGGGCAATTTCATCAATCTGAATTTGTCTTTAATAAAAAATTTTTTCTTAAACTTCTTGAATTTCGGATCCATACGTTCTTATTGTCGCAATCATTGTAGCCTTCAAATCGGAAAAAAACAATTTCACATTTCTTGAACTCATCGCACTGGCATCTGAACGTTTAAAAATTAAAAAAAAAAAAAACACTCAAATCTTACTCAAATCTTAACTCTTGCTTTTCGAAAGAACAATTGAAAATTTTCCTGTCGCTCAGTAGAACTTCCTTCAATTCTTTTTCATTCGAAATCATTTTACACTCGAAAAATCTATCAAGAGCTGAAATATCATTAATGTCCTTAAATGAAAATCTCCTTAAATATACTGTGCTCCACCTATCTTTATCGCATTTATCTGTCAATCAAGAAGAAGTCGAAACCGTGATTGGTATTTGAATTTTCGCATACATTTTTAGCTTTTTTTTTTCAATTTTCTGCTTTTGAATTTTTACTTTTTTTCATTAGTTTATGAAATTGCTGTGTAAATACAAACCTATCTTTGAAGTTGTCGAACCGTTCGAAAAATGAAAACGCAGCAAGTCCTGGTTTTTGAACTTCTCGAAATCTAAAATATACGTGTATATTTATTGTTTCACATAAAAAAAGTCACTTTCCATACTGGTTTCTTCGCAGCATTGCGTTTCATTGATCGATGATTCGGCTTCATCCTCTTCTTTGTCGGAGTAACATTCGTCATCTAAAATAAATTATGTCGGAGCTGAACTCGCGAGAAAATAGAAATTTCAATAGAGCGAATTTAATTTTTTGTCAATATTTTGTTAATCTTTTTGGGTATTCGTCAATTTTTCGATGAAACAAACTATTAGTTTTATTTTAAAGATTTTGGATAAATGGTGCTACGTGGTCCGCAAAAAAAAATCTGATCAGAACAATTTACAATCTGATCTGAACATTTACCAATCGGATTCGAAAAAATCCAAATCTTATCCGATAAATTACCAATCGGATGCAACTACAAATCGGATCCGACAAATTACAAATCGGATCCGAAAAAATACAAATCTTATCCGATAAATTACCAATCGGATGCAATTACAAATCTTATCCGTAGAAATACCAATCGGATCGGGTTGATTCCGGAGCCGAATTTGTCGGATCCGATTTGTAATTTTTCGGATCCGATTGGTTTTGAGTTACCAGAGTTCTCAAAATGAATTATGTTCGCAGATTTTTTAAATGTATTTGATGAAAAAAATTTCGCCGTCAATCTTATGAATTATCTAAAACTAATAATTTAAAAAATGCACAAAGTAACAAATACCATTTTTTTCAGATCGTGGTTTTCCACGTATTCACATTTAATAACTTGGTATTTTTCGTATTCCTGGTGCCAGTAAATGTAAATAGGAGCAACTTTTTTTTTTTCCTAGAAGAATAAAATAAATAATTTTAATAGCAAAAATTTTATGAACCTTTTTCTCTTCTTGACCATTTGAGGCCATCGTTCATCACATTTTGTCGACGTAATCGAATATCTATAAAATACAAATATTGTCTAAGAAGGAGGAATTGTACAAATTTGAATGGCCAAAAGCGTTAGCTATTTTTGATTTTTTTGCATATATCTATAAAATGCAATTTGTCAACTTAATTACTTACCGAATCACGTTTTCGCCGTCGAACAAGAGCAAGCCTAAAGCTTCGTCTTTCTTCAAATAATCCGTTTTAGATTGAAGAGTCATAACAAAACCAAATGTGAAGTTTTCAACAAATTTCATCTGACATGTAGTTTCAGCATGTAACTAAGAATTACGGCACGAAAAATAGTGAACGAACGGAGAGTTTAGGATTGATAGCAATAAAAACATGAAAACAAAAATGATCTAGTTGTTCGATTGATAAAGGAAATTTGCAGGCAGTATTGATTTATTTTCCTTGATTCACCCAATCGAGCAATCAATGAATAGTAAACTAAACATTTTTGAAAGAACATAATTTTTGTGCGAGTCCAGTGTTGCTTGGCAAGTCTTGTTTTCAAATTCTTAAAACCGACCAAATGAACCTAAATGATTTGAAGTAATCAAATATGTTTAAAAAATAAATTTATTCAACAAAAACCGAAATTAATTAATTAGCGTGGAGAAAAGACAATTAAAAAAAAAAGAAAAAATAAAGACAAAACTGGAAAAAAATATACCAAAAGATGCAGAAGTAGCGAATCGAATGTTGAATCTATCGCATATTCAGGTAAATGAAAATCAATCGAAAATAACTTTTTTTCAAAAATAATTTTTCGAAAATAATTTTTTTTCAATCTAAATCGAATGTAAATTAATCTGTAAACATCGAAATTTGCGGAAAAATTAAAAAATCTTAAAAATTATTGAGAAATGATTGAAATTTACGCAATTTCAAGCCTTAATTGCCTTGAATTTACAATGAATAGACTTAAAAATTGAACTGGAAGCATTTCAATTAATTTAGAAGCAATTAACTGAAAAAAGTAGTAAAAAAATTGAAAAAAAAAGAAAAAACGAAATATGACAGTTAAAAGCGCTGCATTACGGTAACATTTGCTCAAATGTGCACAATTTAAAAATTTACTCATTTAAAAATTAGTTATTTTTTTCGATTTTCTATATTTTTCCTTTTTTTAAATCTAGAATATTTTAAACTACATTCTTTGAAAATGAATTTATAAGTTTTTATAAATAAAACACGTTGCAGTTCATTATGTAAGTAGATGTGAAAAAAATACACGTGGTTGGTACGGTAAGCTTGGTGTACCGTTGTGTTTACAGATCGTTTCCGTTTTCATTTTTTTTATTGCTATCAATACTAAAGCGCACAGCTCTTCGATTCCATCGTTCTCCCAGCGCTGACTTACGGATCAGAGACTTGGACCTTTACCAAAGCTCTTGCCGAGAGAGTCCGAATTAGTCACGCTGCGCTTGAGCGAAGATTGGTTGGCCTCACGTTATCACAACAACGTGAACGTGAACAAGATCTTCATCGAGAGGACATCCGCATCATGTCTAATGTTCGGGACCCCCTACATCACATCACGAAGAAGAAGATGACCTGGGCGGGACACGTTGCTAGAAGAACAGATGGAAGATGGACTACTCTTCTAACGGAGTGGCGGCCGTGGAATTGGACCCGGCCAAGAGGAAGGCCTCCCATGAGATGATCTGACTCGCTTCGGAAGGAGATCACTACAAGAACAGCTGAAGGAGCCGTTGTCACCCCCTGGTCCACCCAAGCCAAGGACCGAAAAGCTTGGAAAGCTGTGGTTCGCGCCTCAACAGGCGAAGGAATCTGTCGAAATATTAAAATTCCATGAAGTTTCCCAGATTTTTGTGAGCACATCGAAATATTCGAAATTCCCCTATATTTAGCATTGTTAGAGCGTCATTAGATAAGATATGACGTAGTTAAAAGGTCAGTTATCATGATAAAATTCTCTTTTTTTCAACTTCAGTCTCGTTATTATGATTCGACTGATAAAACAAGTCTCATCAAATAAGAAAACATTTTATCTATGTATCTCCCCATTTGGGAAATCAACATATTTGATAACAAAGACCAATGAATAGAAATGCCTAATATTTATTTATACCCGTTTCTTTTTGTAAACATTCGAATGACTTAGTTCCAGACGAGAACATCAGTTGCTTCTAGAATTAAAAATATAACAAAAGAAATATAGACCGTTATGAGAATTATTGAATGCGGGCGGGTAAGTCGAAATCTTTGAATTATTATCCCTATAAAATACATATGTACAGAAATATGTGATATGAATAACTTTTGATTGTTACCTATGAACGTGACTAATAAGGAGATTCCCACAAATAACATCAAAAGACGGTAGGTCGGGTTGATGATCATCTGTAAAAAATTGCAAATTACGGACCTATTCCTCTAAATTTAGAAATGATTTTGTTGTTTGTTTTCAATTTTCTTATTTAAATAGTAGCATGAAAATAAGTAGTTCGTGCCATTTCAATATTGTAATCTTTTAAAGATTAAATGATAAATACGAATGTGTAAAATTCATGTTTGTCTTGACCACGGCTCGCTGCTCTGGTACCTCAAAACCAATCGGATCCGACAAAATTCGGTTCCGCAATCAATCTATTCGAATTCTACGGATTAAATTGTAAAGTTTGTGCAATTTCAAAATCGGATCAGGTTGTTTTCGAAGGAATTTTGTCGGATCCGGTTAGTTTTGAGTTACCAGAGCGCAGCGGCCTAAAAAGATTGACCGACACTTTCAAAAAAGCATAAAAGCTAGTACGGAACCCAAATCCTGAGAAAAATGACAAGTGCGAAACACTATCACGGCCTTATTTTCAAAATTATGTTTAATGCTTAAGCATGGTTTTTTTTATTCCACGAAGATGTGACTTTTATTTTGATATTTTGTATTTGAAATACGTAAACACACGAAATATATACCCATTAATTTAGTTCTATATAATTAAGATAACTAATCCATCAAGTGTGGCCGTGGCCGAACCTAATTTTTACGACATTTTTCTAGGCCTTACATGCATTGCGGCCTGCCGTGTTCCGCGAAAAACGTAGTTTCCATTATTTTTTTCGTTATTATTTTTTCATGTTTCCTGAGATTTTTTTTCTTTTTTTAAACTTTTGTAATTTGGGTATTGATTGCGTGTGGAGTGACGGTGATCCGAAGTGAGGTGCGAAGATGATGAGTGTAGAAAAAAGTTGCTTTATTAGTAATCGATAGGAATATGAACCAAAGATAATTTTTAAAAAATAATAGCCGGCTATTTATACTAGAGAATACGGGCTTCTAGAAAAATCTACATTATACAAGATGACCTAATTTCGAAAATGTCGGAATGACGGTAAGGTAAACCCAATTCTAGAATGTTCTACAACCTACGGGTTTATGAGGTCTGAATTCTTGCACATTTAATGTGAGTGACTCACAACAGACAAAAATAAATTTCGAAAATAAAAAAAAATAATTCGAAAAAAAAGCTACGATTTTCACTTCAAGAACTACATGAATTTAACGCACGCGCCTTTACATTTTTAGTAACACGCTAATCACTACTGTTTAAAACGTAACTTATAAGTTTGAATCGCGCCAAAGACATTCTATCTTTTTATAACATCCTGGGCGTTCGATGTATGCAACAGGGCTGTGCGGCAATCGGAAATTTCGGCAATTCGGCAATTCGGCAATTAGGCAAGTTGCCAAAAATAAAAATTTCGGCTATTAAATTTTTTCCACGATAATTCGAAATATAAATACCGAATTTTTATGGTATCCCAAATTATTCAATGGACATTCCTTTTTGTTTCGCCGATTTTTTTTTTGACACCAAATTGCCGAAAATCAAAATTTCGGCAATCCGGCAATTCGGCAAATTGCCGATCGAACGCTCTCTTCGGCAATTCAGCAATTCGGCAATTTGAAAAATCGGCAATTCCATTGCCGCACAGCACTGGTATGCAATGGCGACGTTTCTTCGGCTACGTAAAACGCTTTCGTATACGCACTACTTACCTAGGTGCATGTCGATCTCGTGGTGTCACTGATTAAGCGCGACGCAAGCATAATGGAAGCATTGTGGGAAATCTGTGGAACGGAAGCATAATGCTTCCATATAGGAAGCATAATGTAATTCTTAGTGGCTGTGGAAGAAATATGGGACGAATATGGATGGAATGAAAACGGGATGAATATGCTTCCGGTGTTTGCGAGCCGTGGAACGAATATGGATGAAATATGGATAAAATAATCATATATCATTACACATTATACAATTGGCGTCTGGACGGCAGACCAAGACAATTTCTAGAAAAATCAATACAAAAAACTTATGCTATCATATAAACAATGAAAATTTGAAAATTACATGATACACAACATACGAAATTTAGCTTCTACCATTTAATGACTTATGCTACTCAGATTTATGTTAATTCAGTCAACTGTTCCTTACTTTGTTTAAAGATTGCCAACTACAATTTAGTCGTATTAATATATTTTTGCCGGTTTTTCTGAAATTGGCATCGCAAACTACTCACAATTTGCTCCAAACTGGTAGCAGACGCGCGTAGAAGAGGCGTGCCGCAGCATTGCAAAACCGTGCGCCGCTTTGCACAATGCGGCCACGCCTCACATTTTCGAAATTCGTTTTCAAAATTTTTGTCCTTTTGCTTTTTCTCAATGAATTTTCAAGATTTTTTGTGTTTTTTTTTTGTCAAAAATTAAAGAATTTTTTTCAAAATTAAAGGAAAAATGGTTTTAAAAAATAAAGGAAAAATTTTCATGTTTATCATCAAAATCGAAACCAAAAATAAATTGATAGCATTCGAAAATTTTAAAATCGATACGATGTTTTCAAATCGTTTCCGACACTTTTAAAATCGAATTTAAATATTTTCTCAATCGAATTGTGTTTAATTTCTCATCGAATCCGTTTTATTTTTATTTACTTTAACATATTTTTTATTATCGCTCGCTTTTTTCTTTTAATAAAACATAATGTTTTGAAATTTTTTACAGATGAAGACAAGATCGAGAGTGTTGTCAGATATAACTGAAACTGCTCTAGAAGTCAATAACAAAGAACCAGAAGTCCCTAACATGGAACCAAATTCGCTCGACACTTCAGATCCAGATAGTCCAATTTACTCGCCAACTCAGCAAAAAAATTTTTCTCCACAGTCCTCACAAACAACAAAATCAACGCCAATTCCTAAACCTTCGTACGCGCAATTTGTAAGTTGTTATCATCAAAAATTGGCCTGTTCGACTCCAGAAATGGTTTCAATTATAAAAATATGCGCAATGAAGTCTTTATAAAGTACTTCCTAAGTTTAAAGCTTGTTGATTATTTGGTTCCAATCAGGGCTGTGCGGCAATGGAATTGCCGATTGCCGAAATTGCCGGTTTTTCAAATTGCCGAAGAAAATTTCGATCGGTAATTTGCCATTAGCCGAATCGCCGAAATTTCCGATTGCCGTACATCCTTCGTACCAATATCATTCAGTGGCATTTATCTTTTTAAGTGGGGCTCTAGTACAGAAGTCGCCAGACGCCGACTATATAAAGATCCTATACTTTATTGCAAATATCTATATTACAGATGTTCTTATCCATGGCTTTGGGCAACAACCGACAAATGACTTCAAAGCGAAAGCATTACGCATGGTTCGAGAAGTCATGGATAATCTTCTGTAAGATTTTGAACTATGACTATTAATTTATTTACTTGATTAAGCGATAGAATGCGCCAACGACTTCAAAGGAAATTTGGTGTAGCGCCGGAAGCGCTCGCGGCGCAATTAAGGAAGCTGCTTGATTCTACCAGCAACCCTCAGATGTGAGTATTCATATGTCTTTGAAATTTTAACCAAAATGCCTTTTTGCTTCAAATTTTGGAGTTGTTCTTTCTTCCGCCAATTCACTTTTTATTTTGTGCACTAAAGGGTTTCCAAAAATGCAATAAAAATAAATTATTTTTATTTTTAAGAAAATTATTGATGTAAAAAAACTGATTGTATTTTCTCGAAAAATTTAGTTTACGTAACAATGGTTTACAAGTTTTTCAAATTAATAGGCCCATTATAATCGAAGTGTAGCGACTAGGAAAAGTGGAGAAAAGGTAAAAATTCGATAACGGTTTCTTTCTACAAGCGTATATTTGCGAAAAAAGGATAGGTTAAATGTGCATTAGGACTTTTGCCTAATTTCTTAGCAATAGTTGTTGTTTTTAAAAATATCATAACACGGCTTTTTAACCAAGTGTGAACGATATGAATTCTACTTATTACAGCGTCCCGCTCGATGTCAGTACTGACAATGATTCGAATAGTTCGGCAGTTGCCAGTAACTAATGGTTTGATTATATCTTAATTGAAATTCATTTCATTGTTGTTTTTTTTATTTTAAATTAAATAAATGTGTTAATATGAAATAAATTTTGAATACAGCAATCAAATTGTTTTCTTATTTTCCCATATGGAAGGCATACGGCTCATTCCATATACGAAACACGCGGTTCCGCAAAAAAATGCTTCCATTATGCTTCCATATAACTTGCATATAAGATTCCTATGATATCCACAGCCGTTCCACTATGCTTCCATTGTGCCTATGCCGCCGTTTATCTGTGTAACACACAGAAGGCCGGCGGTTCGAGCCCGCCCGAGATCAAAATTTTTGTTTTACACAGTTACTCACCGAAATGTATTTTCCTTGAAGTTTCGCAATTGTAAACGGTAATCCGAATCCCATGAGGAGATCTGTAATTATTAAATGTCATCAATCTATAATTTTAACATACTGAATAGTGGGCCGCCAATAGCGGCAGCTAAAGCCATTCGAGGATATCCCTGCTTTACGACAGAAACATCAGAAATTAGGTCGGCTATACTGTTGCTCCATGCCATTATTGTGAGACCGAGAACCTAATGAATTGCGTAAATATTTGAAAGGTGTTCTTACTTCACTTGATATTCTGGAAACTATTCCTAACATTGTGACAACGTTAACAACTTCTGACGAAATCAAATAAATCCATGAAATTGACATTAAAAATCCGATGTATGAATATATCTCCTTGTAGTAGAGCGGTTGAACCCCAAGTTTTGTGAAAACGGCTACCAATGTAAAGATAACCGCAGAAAATATGAGAGCGTACATCCATATTCCTGGACTTCCAGGGAATATTGAAACTGTAAGAACTGAAACCGAACGGTTAAATTCTTTTGAATATCTAGGCTCAGATATCTGTTAAATGAATCACAGCGTTTCATTCCAAGCGTTGGTAATTTTTCACTTCATCGCCTTGTCTCGCCGCCTCGCTCTGTTCGTCTCGTATTGCCACTTCCCCCGACATTTTACGGGTTTCGCTGCACTCTATGTTTACCACGCGGTGCTCACCTTTAACGGAGAAAACTAAAAAAAGCGGGCATATAACACAATGAATGAGAGCCAATGGTTTGCACCAGCTCAATTCGTTCAAAGGAATTGTCAATTTGAAGAACAACATCGGAATAACCTGAAAAGAAAAAACTTCGCGTGCCAGCAAAAATAGAAAACGAACGTTAATGATAGTAATAACTTTCGAGAAAATGTTCATTTCTAAAAACTCGTCATATTCTGGATACGGCTTCAAATGCTCCCAAACGTCAATTAGAAGGCCAAAATTCCTCCAATTATTCAATTTTCGAGGTTTTGGAGCTTTAATAAATAATTTAAAAGGCACTCGAGTTAGAAAATTACCTTCACTTTGTGCTCGACTTCGAGCTTCGTGCCCTTGAAATACATGATTATGCAAAACCACAAACTCTTCATCTTCAGCTTCTTCTCCTTCGTCGATTGTATCAGGAACTGAAATTGGTTAATCGAGAAATTATTGAAAGCCCAAACGAAACGAGCCTGCATGCGGATGGATTCCGTTGAAAATGTCGTCGACACTAACAAAAAACGACGGCCTCTTCTTCTGTTGCTGCACTTTTTCATCGACATGCTCCTTTAATTTATCAATTGCATTTGTAATAACTTGAATTTCGGGAACATTATCTGAATAATTTGATTTCGACATAATCCGATGTTCGACCTACTAATAGTCATCCGATGGATCGGTGCGACACTATGTCGAGAACGAACACTGCTCATATGTCGCGGAATGTGTCGACGACGATGAAGAATCTCGATGACGATGACGGTAGCCACATAGATGACGTACAAACCAAGAAATACTAGAAGTAGAAGACATTGAATATTGAATTTGATTGAGGAAACAACTCAAAGGCATCCATATTTCGACATGATCGAATAGAATGAAACAGACAGAAAGGAATGCGAGAGCTATGATGAAGAACGTCAAGTCTCGAAATGTGCTTATAATCTGCAATCGATTTTGATCAATTTGTCGGGTTTCGATGCTCTGAACCTCGACATCAAATGGGCTTGTGAGAACAATCGTGGACACCACCATAGTTGTGACGAACAATGCACCACCTGAAAAAAGGAAACGAGCAAATGAATTTGGGCGTTTCGTTTGCCTAGCAACTCTCCGAGAGCCAAATCAGCTTTTGGAATCGGACTGCTCAATACCGAAGCAACTGATCCGAAAACGTCCGGTGCTCCATTTCCGAACGCCATGAATGTAACCCCCTGTGGAATGAGATAGATGAGATTGCCTCGAAATATTTCATATCGCTACCGCAACACTTTCACTGATTTTCAAGTGGGCGACGATCGATGAAATCGACGGCGAAAAAAAGTCATCGGCTGCTGAGCTGAGCATCACAAAGAGGACGAGCATATAAGAGACGCCGACGATTATTAGAATAACCTGACTAATTTTCGAATTTGATTGATAATTCTATTTTTCGCACCCTTGCTGCCGTACTCTCAGGGCATTCGACGTATTGCGACCATAAAAGATAACCGCCGCCCTCACAAGCATCTGGGTTGCATTTGATGTACTCGCAAATATCTGAAATTCGAAAACGTTGTTCTGCTGTTCCCCAGGAAGAATGGGATTCGAATGTCCGATTACCTCGTCTCGTCCATCCTTTTGACAGTTTGCAGTTTTCCGAATCGCAAAAACTCTCGTTGAATGACACAAATGTTGACATTTTTGCATGAGTAACACATATTAATAAGAATATTAATATCAAGGTTTTTCTGCTCATCCCTCAAATACGTTTGATAACGAAAATGGCAATACTATATAAAGGAGCATTAAAAATAGATTAGAGTTCGAGTTCGAATTGTTGCGTCAATTGATACCGTAATACTAGACAATTCCGATTAAGGATAATAAGGAAACAAAAAATAAACAGAATAAAATATTATGTTATATTATATATCTCAATGAATTGATTTAAAATTTTTTTTGAAATTTTTTTTATAGGGGAGTGTGTGTTGTTCCAAAGTATTACTAGAAATAATATTTTTAAAGTTGAATTCAATCGCAAAAAAATACGAGCTCATTGAGTAATGATGGACCATCGAATAAATACAGGGGTAATGTAGGTACCGTACTCTGGAAAACCTGCGAATCAAACTCACCGTAAATCTACCCAGGGTGCTCGTTTAATTTTGCGTTTGCATTATTTTTTGATATTTCTGTTTTACGCGAAAACAACAATCTCAATCAAAATTGGCTTCATGATTTTAGAATTGCATCACGGATCTCATATTAATTAAGCAAATGATTAAGAGGTTCGTAATTTCAGCAAGTAGGAGATTATAATTCAAGAAAAAATTACTAAAATTACAAAAAAAAACTTCGAAAAATGACCTTTGATTATGGAAAGACAGACAGACACAACGGAAATATGTATGAGTATCGATGTGTGCTTTATAATTATCAATTCCCTCCCATTATCTATTTTTTTGGTAAATTATGCTCTATTAAACACACCCAAATGACATAGAAGATGATGCGAAAAATTTGGTTAATATTATGATTCATAACGCATTTAACGAGAGAATCAAAAGATAAAACGAATTAATTTGAATGAGTACAGAAATCGAGAAATCGATATCCTGCGAATGAATTTGATTTGCAGGTTCCATCCAGATTCGACGGTATCCGAATTGCCACCGTTCAAATTCGAATTTGAATTATTGCGATGGTCCACAATTATCCAAGGCGCTCGGTTTTTTGGTATGGTTACATTTTTTCGTACAACCTCTCAAATTCAATTCCGAGTTCATAAATTTGTTTTGAGCATTTTCCTCAAAAAAAAAAGCCTAAAGACTATAATCAACCGAAAAAGTTTCACACATGGAAAATGTGAAAAAAAATGCGAAAATTAAATTTTTTTCATATGCGGACATGAAAAGATAATAAATTAAATCGTTATCGCAAACCAATGTACATTGACGATACCGGCAGCATTGACAGTTGATATTTAATATCGAAGAGTCCGCAAATGTGCTAAAATCGCGAATAATCTCTAATCGGCCGTCTTATCGACACCCAATTTACGTCATTTTACAGTTTCCCCCTAACAAAAACGGTTTGGATTTATATTTTATTTGCATTCACGAGCTACTCGACCAAATTTGCGCGATTTTAGCCGCGTTTCAGCGTTCGCGTTTTGTGCCGAATCTTCTGATTCTCCTCGATCTCTTTCGATTTCTTCGAATTTTCCTCGATTCCCATTGATGACCCATCTCCTACATTTCCATCACCATTTGATGTCATTTTGCGATTCAATTCGTCCGACGTTTTTTCCTGGGGAAATTTTGAAAAATGAGGTGCGCGAGGCATTGGATTGATACCTTCCGAGTGGTATCAATGTCCGTCTCAGTTTCGGTCACAATCAGCGGAGCCAGCTTCTTCCTTTGTCTCCTCTTGTTCATTATCACAACAATCGGCTGTCCGGTAGGCGGAGCCGGCAATCCGTCATAGAGATTTTTCAAATAAACCGTATTTCCCGTTTCCGGCTCCGTGTATTTCGGGCCAATGCTTTGATAGAGAACCGACTGATCCGCCGGCTGCACCTGAGTTTTCGAACGTCTTCCAGTGACGTCCTGAAGAAGGCGATTCTTCGGCATACGATAGATGTATTCTGAATCAAACGACGTCATCTCAAACTAATTTCAAACGAAAAACCGTCGGTTCCATTTTGCGATTTTCGCTCGCAGACAAATGGAAGTTTTATCGAATCCGATTTCGTGTACCACAGTTTTGTGAGAGATTGCACACTGACAGCTCCAACCTGCGAGTCGGAGAGCATCGGATAACCTGAAAGAGAAAAGAAAAGATTCGGAAGGGTTCATCATGGCGACCTCCTTCGACATCGAAGTTCGAATAATTCATAGCAGATCCATCGAGCCATTCCCAATCGTTGTCAACATTTGAAGCGCCAATGTAGAACTCGTCGATTCCTAATTTCAGAGCAGCTTCTGAAACAAATTAAACATAAGCAACTAGTTCGAATTTTTGAATAATAGTTGGAATAAATTTAAATTGAAAAAAAAATTTATTCAACTGTGATATTTTTTCCATGGTTTCCTTTCGAAAATAAGGCAATATTGGATATTGCAAAAATTGACAAAATGCCAACAAAATTTAAGAAGAGGTCTCGATCAGGTGTGGTCTTGAAGAGGCATCAGCAAGTTTCTCGAGAATTTCTCAAAGCAGCTCGTCTTGTCTTGGATCGTGACAAGACGCCTATTGAAATGCATGTATTGTCTTAAAAGCAAAGGCAAGACAAGAAACTCGAGACGCTTGTCTTGGAGCAATTGTGCTTGGGATTGTATTGCCTTGTATTATGAGTTGACAGTGTACAAAACGTTTTGCGTACAAAACGTTTTAATTTACGCGCATCGCTTTAAAGCAATTTCTCGAGCCATTTGTTGCCAAGCATTTCTCAAGACAAGAAATGACTTGCACTTGTTTGAATCTTGCCTTGTGACTCGAGAAATCTTGCCGATGCCTCATCAAGACCTCACACTGGTCTGCGCTTTTAACCAATCATTCTGTTTTAAAATTTACAAATTTAGTTTTTTTTTTCGCTAAGCCGAGAATTTCGTAAAATCTTCATCGAATTTGTGTACAATTGTGTTCAAATTTTTCAAAATTTCAAGTTTGAGCTATAAAGATAAAGCAACCATTTAGCTCATCATTCATTTTCGAATTAAGATGCTGCGCCAATCGAGATGTTCCACGAGATCTGCAAAACTTTAAAAATCTGACGTTATTCGTCTGATTTTATTCGGGAAACCCTCAACGCATTCGTGAAATTGAGAGGTGTTCGATAGAATTGAAAACAACTGAAAACTGTTGCGAATTATCTCCAGAAAATGCCCGAATTGTTGACAACCTCGTCCCGTTGCCATACATGGTCCCATATTTGCAAAATTGGAAAGAATGAGCGACGGGAAAGATGGAGAAAACAAGAAATATCATTTGAAGCTGCATATTCGAAACGGAAATGCGATTTTTCCGCTTGTCGCCATCAATATTTTTACGACCAAAACCATTAATTTTATTTCAAAAAAAAAAATAAACATTTATTTCTTCTTTTTTTTGTATTTATGACGATAGAATCAAACCCGTCAAGAATCATAAGTGAATTGTTTTTTTTTCATATTCTTTTTTTTTTTGAAAAAAAAAATCAGAAAAGAAATATCGCAGACGAATTTGGGATAACAAGTGAAATTGGCGGAAATTCGAAAGATTTCCTCATTTGGGATAACAAGACCGGTTTGAAATTTTTGGTGGGGAAACAAGGCAGGGTAAGTGAGCAGAATTGAAGAAAATAGAACGTGAGTATTCAGATGCTGAGTGGCTCGAACTCGCGAGCACGACCGTGTTTGCAGAAGTAGGTACAATGAAGGCACCAACGGACACATTCGATGACGAAGATGCCGAGCACCGAAAGAATGAGCATGACGACAAGAAGGCTACTGAAACCGAGCACATCGAAATTTGACGATTGAAGAAATAGAGAGAGAGAGATCTTACAAAATCGATGTGAAAAATGTGGATTCTTCGCAACAATCGTAGCCGCAACAATTGGATTCGGCCGGGCACGAATATGCGATTTCTTGAGGTCGAGATTCATTCTCAAAGTATACCTGAAATCGAAAAGAGTCGAAAAAATTAACGATACGAATTTGATGGTGTTTACTCGGCCGAATTGCGGATCTTGAGGATCGATTCGATTCACACATTGGATTGGAAGCTTCTCGTCGGGAACCAGACGACCCTCACCCCAATAGTATTGACGATTGCCGAATCTGTAAAACAATAGAGATATTAAAAAAATATGAATAAAGAAATGCAATTCGAATTTCATTATTATTATGACGTTTTCGTTTTAAAATTTAAATCAATTATTGAAAAATGCGCATTTCTGATGACAAAAAAAATGAATCATTGGATGATGGATTTTTCGTCGAGCGAAATTTTTTCGACTAGACGAAGAAAAAAACGGAAGAAGCTCACGAAATTGGACGCGATGCATCTTGAATAATATGGCGTCCTGCGTTGAACATTAAATATCCGGAAGTTGCTCCAAACACGAATGACCGGAAGTTTGATGTGTGTTCTATTGAGCCCGGTTTGGCGTACCTGAATTTGTTTGATGAAAACACCCACAAATAATGCGTGTGGAACGACGACAATCACTTTTTCGTAAAATAGGGCTTCGAGCGCGACGTTGAAAACAAGCTGCTGCTCCGCGATCCGGATCTTCCGCGCCCTCCTGATCCACCGCCACGTCTTCCGTCGACGAATGCGCACGCGACGAGCAGCAGCGCAATCGGTGCGGACCGCATAAGTTGCCGCGCGCTGAAATCATCAATGATTCGGTGACGCGATCGATTCGAATCCGATTTGTGTGTTTGTGTGACAATTAAGTCGGCAAACGTGCCAATTTCGCCGCGCATTTTATGAGCCAATTTTATGAGCTCGGCCCTCCCCAAAAAAATACGAAGATGAAAGAAGAAGAAGAAGAAGACGAAGGGAAAAAAAAAAGAAGTTTCTAATGCAAAACAGATGAAAGAGATCGCGATGAACACAATGAAGAAGAAAGAAATGAGTTGAATTCTAATATGCATTGAAACATTACTTATGTGTGATCATCAGCGAACACGCAATTTTCTTTCTGACGAATTCCAAATTAGGCAAAACTCTTGCCACCACGAGCAGTTTTTCGCCTCATCTCTCTCCACTCATTTTTCAACTTTTTTTCTGGTTTTTTTTTTGAAAATGATGCGAATTCTAGCTAATTTGATTTGCGGCTCAAGAGCATTTCGGGTTTGATTTTTCGATACCAACGAGATTTTCATGGAGAAAAGGGTAGCGAAATTGATTGCGAAAACTCATTTCTGAATATCGTCGTCGTATTGTTTTTTTTTCTTCAAACAACATTTTGACAATTTTTTTTTGCAGCCATTTCAAATTAGTCGGATCGAGAAAAAACCAAAAACCGGTCGAAAAAGGAAAACAATTAGAAAAAAACGAGAGGAAAATGTTGAAGAACGTCGGTTTGAAGCGGAATATGCATACACATGTAACTAATTACCGCGGACCAGAATAAAACACATAAATAATTGTGGGCTCGGCTCGAGCTCACCAACAACAACAAGACACGCAGAGGTATATATATATATATATATAATTATTTATGTGTTTTATTCTGGTCCGCGGTAATTAGTTACATGTGTATGCATATTCCGCTTCAAACCGACGTTCTTCAACATTTTCCTCTCGTTTTTTTCTAATTGTTTTCCTTTTTCGACCGGTTTTTGGTTTTTTCTCGATCCGACTAATTTGAAATGGCTGCAAAAAAAAATTGTCAAAATGTTGTTTGAAGAAAAAAAAACAATACGACGACGATATTCAGAAATGAGTTTTCGCAATCAATTTCGCTACCCTTTTCTCCATGAAAATCTCGTTGGTATCGAAAAATCAAACCCGAAATGCTCTTGAGCCGCAAATCAAATTAGCTAGAATTCGCATCATTTTCAAAAAAAAAACCAGAAAAAAAGTTGAAAAATGAGTGGAGAGAGATGAGGCGAAAAACTGCTCGTGGTGGCAAGAGTTTTGCCTAATTTGGAATTCGTCAGAAAGAAAATTGCGTGTTCGCTGATGATCACACATAAGTAATGTTTCAATGCATATTTTATATATATATTTATAAATTTTTGTCGAACAACAACAGGAAACAAACTTGTATATTTTCCAATTTCGATTTAGGCGAACCGAATAATTTTTGTTTTGCGAAATTGCCCAAAAATTATAAAGCTGTCGAAAAACGAGAAATCAATAGCATGCAAACGCGATGCTTTTTTTCAAGCAAAATTATAGTTTATATGTGAATACAAAAAACAAAGGGCAAACGAGTGAATTTTGAGAGGAACGACGCTCTATAATTTCGATTCCTCGTAATCCGAGTGGGCGGGGCCACGCATTTCGTATTTTCGAATTTTTTGGGCCGTGAATTCCTTTTCTCATTCGGGATTCCAGACGTCGAATAAATAGGACGAGAATAATTTTAAAGGTCGCTGCACGATGTCAATAAAAAGTACGTGGAACACCAACACGCAAAAATGCACTCTCCACCAGGACTTTTAAGTCAAGTAGCCAGAAGGTGTTTTGTCGTTTGACGCAAGCCGGAACTATCTTGAGAATCTCACCTATGCGAAGCTAGATAATATGAGTAGATGAATAGGGGTGGCCGAAATCAAATTGTGCGTGAGTTGAAAGCAAAAAATGGCATTTTTGTTGTCTGCGGCCCCCCCAAAAAATGAGGTGCGTCCCCAGGGGGATTCGCGCGCGCAAAAAAAAATAACGAAACTATCCTTATGGATGAAGTCGGACCCATTTTTTTGCGAAAAAAAAAGCAGATGTGATAAAATGATTGGTGGCCAACGCGTACGGCGGTAAATATATCACAACAGGTGATATGTTGGGGGCTGAGCACGAGTAGAAGCGAGAAAAATGAAAGAGGCCGACTCTCAAAAAGAGATGCCGCAACTAATTTGAACGACAACTTTTTTTTTTTTTTGAAAAAACCCCTCCAGCCCGACTAATGTGGTCGTATTGTTCGATTATTGAGTGCTTGTTTTTGCGTTTTTAGCATGGTTCTGATCGAGAATTTTTGCGGGCGAAGAAAAATGACGCAGCGGAAGCTGATGAATCAAACGCGATTATTCAGTGCTTGCTAATGCACGCCCCGCCGTTTCGAATGTTTTGGGAGAAAATGAAGGGAGAGCGAAAGTGAGCGCTGCTCGCACACATTTATATTTATCATAAAAAAACTATACATGGGTGATTTTCAATGGAATCGAGTAGTAGTAGTAGAAGAAGAAAAATACATTGAATGCGAAATGAGTCTGAATTTCGAATAACAAGTTGGCAACCGATTAAAATTGATACGAAAGATAGCATTTTAAGATTCTTATATAGATAGCATTTTAAGATTATCAAAACTATTAATTCGGGATGAACTTTCTGCTAATTGTTCAATTTCCGCCCAAATTCGAAATTTAAATGTTTCGTTAACGCGAGAAAAAATTCCGGTTGTCTGATTTTACAAGGACACTTGAATTTCATTTTTTAAATTGAGTAGTAGAAAACTGGTTAAGAATTTTAAACTCGAACCGATTTGAAATTGAAATTCGCAATTTTCGATTTGATGTTTGTTTTCTCATGAAAATGTGTTTTCTCACAAACTGTGTTAATTTAGATTAGGACAACAACACCATATACATATAATTGTTGTTGCTCAACTGAGACTTGATTAAGCTGATTGAAAAAATCATGACGAAAATAAATTCATTTGAATATTGGCAATTCAGATATTTAAATTTTGAAAATGATTATCTCGAACTCAAATCAAAAACCGAAGGTAAAATTGAAACAATCGGGCGCGTCGACCTCAATTTGTGACAATTCGAGTGAGTGCGAGATATTGATTGATGGCCAAACGGCAAAAATGACCTTCACCAGAAGAAATCGGAGAGAAGAGAAATTGACAAAAAACCAGAATATGCTCATATTAAATCATCGAAAGTTGGAGGGATTTGTATATTATTTCGAAAAATGATCGAGGGATTTGAAGAGGGTCGAGGACAATAAACAGTCAGTCGCCGATAGACAGTCAGTCGCGTGATGCACTCATTCAGGCCAATCCAATTATAATATGGTCGATGTCAAACGACTGAAGGGAGGCGGGTCCTTCAAATTCGCGAAATCAGCGTAGATTTAAATATATCGTTGAGTGAATAATAAATGCGCGTACACTATAATGCAAGGTACGCAATCTCGCGTACTTCTCGCTACGCATTGGCACATAGCCAATAATTTTTTTAATTTTATTATAAGTCCTTTGACTTCAACGATACTATACAAAAGGGGCGGAGTCAAATGAGAGGTGAAATCAACATCTCTTGGTTCAAAAATTGGCATTTTGATTGATGGGCAGTCGTTTAGCTTGACATCGATTAGGTGAAGATAATAAAAATTAATTATGATTATAATGGTCCCGAAATAGAAAAGACAATGATGATGCGTGCCGAATGAGAATATCTGAATGGACAGTTCAGAATGCAAATTAATTATTGAGATTCGAAAATCCACCGAATAAAGTCGATCGATGCAAATGGAAAGTGCTGAATTATCCGATTTCATTGAAAACGTTCATTAGACTGATCGAAGATCGGATTTCGTTTTGAGTTTCAATTTTTATCACACAATAAATACCAAGAAATCATTCATTTGGTTTGGGTAATTTTCAACGACATTCGCGTTTCGTCGACATGCGAAATAATTGCTTCGTTAATTTAGGAAAAATGAAAACAATCGTCTCTCTTCTAAAACATCTGCGATGTGTTTTGAAAAAGTTCCACTTATTTCAGCATTTATTTTGATATCAACCAGTCTTTTTTGATGTCCTGACAAAAAGTACCCTGCGCTTTGTATCTCGTGTGAATTTCGCCAAAAAAATTTCCAAACACATTTTTAAAAATCGTTTGAGACTAATTAGGGTTTTACATATTTACAATTTTGAACAATAAAAAAAAGATGAGAAGATCTAGCAATTTAGATGAATTGCGACCCGTCCGTCTTCAATGCCAAAATGCTCAAATATTTGCGTTTCTCACACATGCGCTCACACAAAAATCTTTATATTTTCCTCATACACAATACACAAAATAATAAATAAAAAAGAACAGAAGAAGACGAAAAAAGGAAGTTGACCAGTACAAACCGTGATCAAGGCAAAATCACGCTAAGAGCGAGCAAGAAAATCATCAAAGGCCTAGTTTCTATACACATATGAGCAAATAAAAGTGGATACTCGCGATCGATAAAGTTTATCATAAATTACTGATTTTCGAGGGAGAAATGGCACCGATTACTTTCCATAGGCTTCGATGAGCATTCCAACACCATGACCACCAGCTGCACAAGCAGCAATCACGGCATATTGTCCTTTTTCCTCCTGAATAAAAAAAATAAAGCTAATATTGACAATTTGTGATTTCGGGGGTCTATTCATCATCTGTTTCAAGAGAAAAACACATAATTAGTCATCCTTCGGTAAGAGAAGAATGAGAAGTTTCGAAACGAATTCGTCATAATTACGAATAAATTGAACAAAGTACCTTCAGCCGATGAGCGGAATGAGTGGCCAATCTGACTCCAGTAGCGCCGAATGGATGACCAATTGACAAAGAGCCTCCCCAATTGTTAAGCTTCTCCATTGGCAATCTTCCGAATTTTCCCTTTCTCTTCATGTGCTCCTTTAAATGAATTCCTTTGTAATTCTGGTTAAACTGGAATAGGATACCTTGCAGAAGTAGTCACTGTCAAGAGCATTGAGATTTGCAAGAACCTGTCCAGCAAAAGCCTCGTGAATCTCGAAAACGTCGACATCCTTAAGAGTTAGTCCGGCTTTGTCGAGCAATTTCGGAATGACGTAAGCTGGCGAGAGTAGGAGTTGATCTTTTGGGTCCTAAAAACAAAAGCATGATTTTCGAATTTCGAACAGTGAAATGAGTACCTGAGCGACATACATGTAGTCTCTCAAGTAAGCTTTTGGCTTGTATCCATTAGCCAAAGCGAACTCTTCCGTCATAATGAGAGCAGCTGAAGCTCCATCAGTCAAATAAGAAGCATTGGCAGCAGTAACAGTTCCATGCGGTTTCACGAATGCTGGCTTCAAAGACGCCATTTTCTCTAACGTCGAGATTCTGATTCCATTGTCTTGTTTGATGGTAACTGGCTTCTTTCCGCCCAAGAAAACGGGAATGACGTCGGTGAATTTTCCAGATTTCTGCGCTTCCAAGGCAAGCGAGTGCGAGCGAAGAGCAAACTCGTCTTGTTCCCTAAAAAATGGCACGTGAAAACGATAAAATTGGAAAATTAGCAATACTTTCTCGAAACGTTGAAAGCCGCAGCAAGACGATCTCCGCTGTGTCCCATAGTTTCACCAGTCGAGAATTCAGCAACAGCTGGCAATTCTGGAGCAAGAATATTCTTCAAGATTTGTCCACCTGAAAAAAAAAAAACAATAAAATCCATATTTTTATCTTGTATATTCCAATACCAATTTTCAGTTTTGATGGAACATCTTTTGCCTTGTTCAATCCAAGCATCGCCTTTCTCGCGTTTCTATTGTATCGGATTGGAACATCGGATAGTAATTCGACTCCGCCGGCGATGATGGCGTTCGCATTTCCGGTCATTAACATTCCCATTCCTTGTGTCATCGCAACATTCGAGGAAATACAAGCAAGAGTGACGGTATGAGCGGGGATCTGACAATTTATTTTTAGATTTAGATAATTCAAAACATTTTCAAACAAGTTTATTTTTTTTTACAATTAACCTCCTTTGTATGTATTGTTGTGATTAAATATTGCATTACTCTTAATGCAGTTTTTTTTTCGATTTTTCTCCAATTAATAGTTGAAAATATAAAGCAAAAAAATTAATTAAAGAAATTTTTACCGTGTCTGGAACGCCAGCCATGAGAGCTGCTTCGCGCGCAATGTTGCTTGTTTTGCATTCCTGGATGACTGTTCCACAAATAATGTGATCAAGCTTTTCGTATGGTAAATTAGTGCGATCAACTAGTGCTTTAATAGCTTCTTTTTGCAAATCAACTGCCATCAAATCCTTGAAAACCGTTCCCGACATGACGAATGGAGTGCGCACAGCATCTACCTTAACATATTCCATTTAAAGGATAACAATCTCACGATTCTTACCAAAACAATGTTTGGAAGTTTGCGTTGAGCAGCTGTTGAAGCTGCACGAACTGTGGATGCTGATGAGGTGACCGCGCGAAGCATTCTCTGAAAACCGCAATTAATAAAGAATGGTGAAATTGTATCAAAAACAAATCGAAAAATTAAAGGGCAAAGTACACATCATCACCTAAATTTGTAAACTAGAAATGGTCTACTGATAAGTCAAAAAGGCGAGTTTATCGTGGAATGGAATACGACAGAAATGGCTGGTCACTTCTTAAATTAATTATTATAAAAATAGTTTACGTGAAAATAATGAAATCTCAAAAGTATCCGTTAACAATAATATAATTAAGAACATTGTAAATGCGTTATATCGAGCTATAACAAAAACAATAAGATTTGTGAAGAAAACAAGAGAAAAAGAGACAGGGAACACTAGTCGCGTTGATTATTACACAACATGTTAGGAACTATTATATATATACCAACAATAATGTGGACGTGAAAAACAAATGCGGGATATTTGATCAATAAAATACATGCATACTGATAGGCAGTCGCCGCGGAGAACACGCTGCAACAGATAATAACTAACGAGGACAAGGCGGTCATGCGTACGACGTACTTTGCACTTTGGACCACCACCGGATACAGAGTAGCCACCTTCGATGAATCGTACACAGGTGATAAAATAAAGGGAGAAAATGAGGAAATTAGGCTGCGGAATCTTTAATTTCCAATGAATATTTGTTACAATTCTGGAAACTCAAAATCAATCGAATCCGACGGTTCTAGAATCAACCAGACCCGATTGATAATTCTACGGATAAGATCGTAAAATTGTCGGATCTTGGTTTTCTGGTAATTTGTCGGATCCGATTGGATATTATTCGAATCCGTTTCGTTTTAATTTTTCAATTAGGATCGGATCCGATAAATTACCATTAGGATCCGACAAATTACCAATGTGAGGTGTGATCTGTAAGTTTTTGAAAATTCCGGAAAAATAACAGTGAAGACTTTAACAAATCAGCAAGAATTTTTATTGGAACGGGAAACGACTAGAATCCGGTGTAGCATCAATCTCATTATTATCAGAAAATCACCTGATAATTGTTCATTTTCTTTCCATTTCAATGCAAAAAACTTGCTTTTTGAATAGTACAGCTTGTTATATTTTTCAAAAGAGACAAATTCTCAATTCAAATTTTATTTTATTAGTCCATACGCAGACCTAAAAACAGATTGTTAGCAACATTAATCTACACATTATGGAATATCTCTTCTACAATAAAAATTATTAGCATATGTCTTTTGCGTTCTTTTTTAAATGTACGTTTAACTATATTTTGAAATTATTTTATCTCCGACAATCTAAAAGAACGGGAAATTACAACACATCAAATCCCTTTATTGACCGCCCAAAGCCTGTTAGCTGTTGAAGAACATTCTATAATTTTTTAATGGAATATATATATATATATATATATTCGTCTAATTTATTTTTTTATATTCGTATACAAATTTATAATATAAATAATAGATGATTTTTTGCGAGTTTAATTAGAGCCGACAAATTAACCAGGCGAAACCGTGATTTTCGTTTATTTTGACAAAACACGCAGATTACAATGGTTTGTATAATTAAATATTAAAATTATTTAGTATTATGAATTATATCAAATCAACATAACTTTAAGAATATACGAAAAATAAAACACTATTTTTTACACCGACCCCTTGAAAATTCCGTGACCTTGTCGTCAATCATTGTGTTTGCGGACTTCCCTATTGATCGGTAACAGGAAAAATAAAGCGGTTTCCGGAGAGTCGTCGCGGTTTCACGTTCTTCTTTTCGTTCTATATATTCTTCATTTTGATCCTCTTTGATAAGATTTCACAGTTATTCGTGTTTTCTTTAAAAAAACGAGAAAGGTCTCCGTTTTGTGACAGAAAGTGTAATATTTTTTTTTCATTATATAAATTGCTCGGAATTTCTGCGAATTGTGTATACATATATTTATCAATTGTTTGAAGACGTTCGTTTCACTTATAAATATAGTCTTATGGGCGTTCAATGTGGTCTCATGACCGTTGTATAACAATTTCATCATATCGCTTGAAACCTGCCTCATTCATTGATTCGTTTATTTTTATTAAAAAAAAGCGTCCTTTCTCGTGAGTTTTTAATATTTATTCATTTCAGAGCAGAATGGATTTAATCACGCAGTTGACTGAGATGGTTGGGGAAACACAGGTATTATTTTATTTTTATTTTCTGCAATGTCAATATTTAATTGTAGTTCACTATTATTGCATGCACATGCATACTATCATTATGCATATACTTATCTGTACAGTTATCCAGTAGGCGCCCAATGTACTATAATATATTTGTTGTGGAAATGCACACATGGTCAGAAAGGAGAATTGTTCAGGTAAATTATTTAAAATTTTTGATTTACTACCATTTTCATTATTCAGGTTCTTCATTTGGGTCAAGAGTACAATCCGAATATGAGTTGGACGCGCATTATATCGCGAATGCGCGCGAGAGCACCACGCATCGCGGGTGATACACGCGTCGCGATTTCCGACACGAATATCGTTGTGTTATCGCCGGTTACTGTTATAGAATCGCCGGCAAACGCGATGTAAGATTTTTCTAAGAAAACGTTTCGATTGATCATAGCGGCAATTTTAGAAATTGATCTTTCAATTAAAAAGAAAAATTGAATTTGTTTGATGCGGCATCATTCATCAATCGAAATAAGAAATGTGGAAAGAAACAATAGATTTTTTTTAGTTCTTTGGACCCGGAGCGTATTACTTTATGGGACATAGAAATGCCTCCAAGAACAGCGGATCATCCTCCGGATTCGGCACGAGATAGTCAATATGCGGCTGCCGCGGCAATTGCGATTCTTGCTAGAGGGTATGAATGATATTGACAATTTTGACAAAATAATAATCTAAGGGATGAATCAACTCTTGAAAATGCCGGTCTTCTTAATCAAATGGCTGCATCCAATCCGTCGACGCACCGATCAGCGGAAAGACACATTATTACCTATTTGGAAGAATTAAATTTCTTACAGGTTCCTACACAACTTCCTACTCTTGATTTGTCAGAAACTGAAGACAACGAGCCTGTTCCTTCAGAAATCATAACCACCGATGTCACTTATACGACACCTCGTAAGTTTTAAATAGCATTAATAGTCATATCTATCACGGTTTATTGTAATTTTGCAATTTTTCCTCAGAACTTCGTCGTAGCGACCGCCCATTCTCAGCAACACTCGTTAACTCCCGAAACTCAAGACCGGCTCTTATCCCACCACCATCTCCACCAATGGCGGTTCCGCCATCTTCACCACAAGATACTGATAATGAAACGACAGAATCGGAATCAGAAGAAGAACAGCCGCCGACGATGGTTTCTGGAGAGATCCTGTCTCAGGAGCCATCAACTTCAACCGCACCACAACATAATGACGGAACTATGTCATTGATTCGTCTCAAATTCATGAATGATGACATGAAGGACACCTATGCACATCTCACCGATACAGTAGCAATGTACAAAATTCGTGCATTTGGCCAACAAAAGTCATCGCAACAAGTTGTTCGTTTGATTTATCAGGGTACTTTTTAGAAAAAATATATCGTCAAAAAGTTTTTTTTAATTTAGGACAACTTCTTCGAGAAGATAACAGAACTTTGGAATCGTATGGTGTTAAAGATGGGTCAATTCTTCACTGTCATATCAGTACAACGCCGTATGCATCACCTCCAACGGTATATCTTATTAGTTCAATTGCAAACTGTTAATTAAAATTATTTACAGAATGAGATAGAGCAAGGTAACAGGCGACGTTCCTACCGCCAGTCGCAGGAAACTCGTCGTCGAAACAATCTCTTTCATTCTCTTCCAGATGACGACGACACTTTCGAGAATCTCGATCATATCCATTTCGCTGAGCCGCAACCAGAGCCATCAATGTTTGCCGGACTCTTGAATGCGTTCTACGAATTGTCAGAGTCACTTCTACCGATTTTGCTTGCCATCGGTTTCGGAATCATGCGTACACGAGCGCCTCCGCGAAATGCTACTGACGAACGCCGATACAATTTCATTTTCATTATTTATCAATTGTAAGAAGTTGTTTTTAAAATTGAAAATTTGATATATTTATTTTGCAGTGCGCACAATTACTTTATGAACAACGGAAATATGAATGGATTCAACGTCGTTGATAGAATCCAAAGAAATTCATATTCGTATTTGTGGCTATTTGGATGTAAGTTTTATTTACAAATTATAATATATTACAATCGAAAAAACGAGCACCCTGTGTAGATTTACGGTGAATCGAAGTCTGAATTTTAAAAAATGCGATAGCTCATAGTTATGCAAGGGGCTCGTTTTTTTTTTGCGATGGTAATAGCAATGGAAAATCATTTGACGATGATGAATTTAAGAATTGGAATTTCAGGCCAACTTGCCGCCATTTTGTCCTTCATTTGTTTCTTTCCCGAAGTTGTTGACAGGACGGCAATCGGTCTCATGGTCCTACTTAGCTTGTACTTCGTGTTCGTAGTGTATAGAGGTGTTAATGCCCGACAGGAGCCTGCCGATGTGATAAATTCTACTGCAGTTCAACAACCGGTAGCGAATGCTTTGTAAAATATCGAATTTGTAAGTGAGTTTTCAAAACATTTCAGTTTGTGATCCGTTTTTTTTTTCAGAAATATACATACCAGTGAGCTGATGGGTATATGAACAATTTATTCGGAGAGAAAACGATTAGCATGTAAAAATTAGTTGATATTGCTGCAAAAATTGTTAATATTAATAAATACAAATGTTTAAAACAATTTTGTTTGGCTACAAACTCGTGTAGTTGAATGGCAATGATGACTACTCTGAACTCGGCAAATATTGAAACAGTACCGAAATAAAACCAAATACTGTGGCCGAGCTGAACTTCTCAGCACTTCTCGCATTTTTCAATCGTTTCCAGAATATTTTCTACATTTTCACATGATTTTTCGATTGAATGTAATGGGGCAGTGTGTTGGAATTGATTTATAACTTGTTGTGAACACAATAAACGGATTATTCACGTTTGTAATTCTTCTCGACCATTTTCCTTTCAAAATGAACAATAAAAACCGAAAGGGTTGAAAGTTTCAGAATATTTTTTTCTGGAAATAACAAACTAAATTCATAATTGGGCAAAATCCGTGCGGAGTCATATAAGGCAATAAAAATGTCGTATCAATTCGTTTTTTTCGCACTATTGATTCCTTAGTGCAAACAACTGCGAGGTGCCTGTCATCGATAGATTTTTACAGAATGGTCCCTCCTCCTGTTCCTCCAAAGCCATCGTCAGCAATCAGCTCAAACAACGAGAATATCGGTATGTGCCATATTTGAACTATGAGGCTCGCACGTCTCGTAGTCTGCGTTTCTCAGCGTCTCTTCAACCATTCTGTTCTTTCTTCTTTTTTTCCGTTTCGCTCCAGAGACAAAACGTTTTAACAAGAAATTTTGCGTTTCCTAGTCGATTAGTCATCATACTTTTATAGTTTTCGATTCATTTTATTCAATTCACAATCAATGTCTAAAGGTGAGTCGTTTGAAATGGTTTTATTCATATTTTAAAATATTGATTTTCGCGTTTATTTGTTTTCTAAAAAAACTACGACGGATATATAAGAATCGATCGAATTCAATTCGATTTAATAGAGAAAAATGATTCAAATTAAATAAGAAAAATTCTAAAATATTAATACAAACAACAATTATAAAATGTGTTTCAATATGAAATTTTATCGTAGATTGAATATGTTGATGTCTAGAAGATGAAATCTGAAACACAAGTCATATTTATTCAGTAATTTCGAACCGTTTAAAATCAAAACGATTCAATTTTAAAAATTGATACCAGAGGCTGAAAAACCAAAATCATCGTCGTCGCAATAGTCATAAAAGCTAGCGGTTTCATTAAAATCCACACCAAAAAATTGACTGTGTGATTCAAGATCATTCTCCGAAAATTCTTCTTCGCACGTCAATGTATTCTAAATTGAAGAATGTAGATTAATGAGGAATAAGTCGAAACTTACATCAAGTTCGAATGGTTTTCCTTCCTCCATCATGCTTTCTTGGTTATATCTAGTTTCTAAAGTTTCTACATCTCTTTTGGTTCCCATACTTTCAACAGTTTTCGCAGTATCCACGTACGTATGTTCATTTGTTTGCTGTATTGGTGTTTTCTCATTTGTCATCTGTATTTCATCATTGTATTGATTTTTTTGAGCTTGAATTCGTTGAATGTTAATTTTATTCTTCATCGTTCTGTTTTGAACTAGATCCGTCCGATTTTTCCATCGAGCCGAAAAAACTTGTTGCATGAGGCATTCCTCACGAAGGCATCTTAAAATTTTAGAAATAAAGGAACCAGACGTGTTCAATCAAAAAAAAAAAACGGGAGAAGACCCGGTCCGGCTTCATGTCTACTTAATTAACAAGCCTGGATAAATGAATTGCTCAAACGAACTTGAAATAAGAAAATTTTCGCGGCTCGTTATTATGAACTCGAATTTTAGTCGAGATACTCATTTCGTTTCCACACGAATCGCAATATTTTCGCATCGAAAACAATTTGAACGGTTCGGATAAGGTGATCTGCTCTGTTTCCACTTCAAGTTCCGGCTCCTATGCTTAACAATATAGCTCTTCATTTAAAAAAATCTTACAAATAAATTAACAAGTCGTGCCGCAAGTTCGGGTCGATCGCTATTAGAAACTTGCATGTTATTATTATTATTATTCGTATAATAAACAGGTGCAGGTTGATTGACAAGCATTTTGACAATATCTTGTTTCTCAGGATGTTGAGATATCAAATTGGCGAGATCTCCAACCGTAGACAACGTGTTTTTTCTGACATTAGCAACACGCTTCTTATTTTTTTCTTTTTCCCACTTTTTGCTCTAAAATTCATTTATTTAAAATAGTTTCATAAAAAGATAAACCAAACCGTTCTGGGGTAGTATGGAACTCTTTTGTTTTTAAACGGAGCAGAATCTTAAACTCAACATTTGGAAGGTGAAGTCTCATCAAATACCATATTTTTCTGGCTCATTGTGAATCGGCAATGTTTCGTCTCGCGTAGAAGAATGATCCCGAACAAAATTGAATTCGATTCCGTTTGTTTGGGGCTTTTGTTCAATATCGTCTTCGATATTTTGCGGTTGAGAATGATGCCATTTTCGAGATGATGTAGTATATTCCATTTCGTTTTCTATAATTTAAAATTATTTCTAAAAAAAATCCGCGAAATATTACAACACCAGAATTTCCAACATTAATATTATTTCAGACAATAGCTCATTTTCTGTTTCTGCTGCCAAGGCTCTTTTCGAGGCGGCCAAGAAACCGGAAATACGGAACGCTGCAATTGCAGCTGCCAAGAATCCATTTGTGCGACAAGCAGCCAAAAATGTTGCACAAGATGAGAAAGCTCGAAACGCAGTTCTGAATGCAGTCAAAGAGCCGAATTCTTCAAACAAAGTCACGGCGGCGTTTGCAGTGGCTGGTGCAAATCGAAACGCAAATTCGGCGCCACCACCACCGCCTCATCGAGCAACATCGAATGATACAAAACCGCAGATATCACCAGGAAAACTAAGCGGAGTACATTCAGCTATACGATCGCAACTCGAGAATTTGCATCTCGGAGGGACATCAAGTCGTTCTCCTGTGGCAAATCCTGCACCCGCATCATCAATACATTCATCAAATCCACAAACTACGTCATCATTTTCGTCCTACCAATCTAGTAATATAAAATAATTTGAGAACTTTATTGAATATATATTTAGGCTCATCCTATTCGCCCGCTCCACCACCTCCTCCTCATCACTCGACAAGAAGCGCACCTATTTCATCGGCAATAACCTACCAATCGAATGCTCCGCACGGTATTGCCCAATATTCTTATTATCCAGCGCAATCTGATGAAATTTCACTGACTGTTGGAGATAAAGTGTTGTTGAAAAAGAAAATTGACGATCAATGGGTTTATGGTGAGACTCGAAAAATTGCGTCTATGATTTCGAATTGTTTAAGGCGAAAACACAACGAATGGACAAACTGGAATAGTTCCGCTTGCTTATTTGCAAGTCATCGTTCCACTAGCTGATGTTGCTCCGAGTTATACGCAAACGGCTTCATCTCAAATCTATGCAACCGCCATATACGACTATAACAGTGGACAACCTGGAGATCTTACGGTAACTATCAAACTTGTAAAATTTCGAGCGAAACTCCAAAATTTTTTTTAATAATTTGATTTTCAAGTTTTTAAGGTTTAAGTAGTCAATAATAGCCCTAAAATGGTCTTTTTTGGTATCAAAAATAGATTTTTGTTATTTTTTGATTTTGCTCTGGATTCTGACAAATCTGGCAGCTATTAAATTTTATCAGTACGATTTTTTAAAATTAATTTCAGTTTTTCGTGAACGATTCGATTTTGGTTCATTGTAAAATTAACGATGATTGGCTGGAAGGAGAACTTCTTGGAAATCGTGGAATTTTCCCGAAAAACTTCGTAAATTGTCCGAGAATTGATGAATTGCAGTACAAAAATCCGGCAGCGGTCTCTTTTTCACAGGAAAAAGTTGCTGCCGCTTATGATTATTTTTCGGGAGTTGCTGACGACTTACAATTCAGAGAAGGTATTTCGAAGAATCATAAAGAATATTATAATTTGCTGGCGAAGCTTTTCAGGCGATATTATTACTATAATCGAGCATGTTGACAATGATTGGCTCATGGGAGAACTCAACGGAAGATGCGGATTGTTGCCAAAATCGTTTTTGGGGCCTCCATATGGTAAATTAGTCGAAATTTCAAAACGAATTGTGATTTTTAGGTTCGCCGAAAAAAGTGAAAAAAGGAATCGCCGAGATTTCTAGCGCATTCTCACCGAAAAAAGCAATTGCAACCGGTGATTATCATTCAGACGATTCGAAACACTTATATGTGACAAAAGGAGACCAACTTCTAATTGTCGAAGATGTAATTAGTACAATTTATAACGCGTTACCAAAAATTAATATTTTAGGTGGACGAATACTATTACAAAGGAAAATTGGAATCGTTCAAAACTCTACCAGCTGGAATTCTGCCAAAAAATATCGTCAAATTTGTTAATTAATTAGAAACATTTTTATAATTTTGCTTGCCCTTGTCATTTTCACTTATTAAAATGCGTATAGAGCAAATATTAGTCACTTTTCCCGGTGCTCTGAAATAAATTACTTTCGATAACCCTTGACAATTTCACCGCGCGAAACAGTGGTTTTCATCGATTTTGGCAAGACACACAACATAAACAGTTTCGTGGCTTTGAAGAAAACAACCAATTTGAGTTTTCCCGGTAGGTAATTGTGATTTTAAAAACTTAAATATTACCATCGCAAAAAAAGAACTTCACAGAGTGATCAATATTTGCAATTGTAATAACGAGAAATAAACGACATCGAATTTACAAACCAGATAAAAACACATTCAGCAGTTCGAAACAGCGTTGAAAAGAAAATTTTCTCTCCAAATCGCACACTCTCTCAAACATTTTTTTTTTCACAGAAGTTTCAACGGAACTCTCTTATAACAGTAGTTTCTACGATTTGGAGAGATATCGTTTTGAAAAATGAAATAAAAGAACGTTTTAAAACGGTATTTTAATATGGACGAGGTTTGGTGGCCGCGTTTTATTTGGCTGTGTATCCGCGCAATGATTTAAAAGTTGCTACTCAGCGAGGCGTCTTCATATATATTTTTTAAGTCATCGGATAAATTTAATATTTCGTTTCAGTATGTTTAAAATATGTCAGAGGTTATTAAATAACAATTGGAAATTTTTATCGAACCGAGAACGAATTATTTACAAAAATCGGAAAGAAGCATTCAACGATTTTGTCCGCATATCAGGCGCCAATATTCTCATTCAGCTTGGTCTAGCAGTTTTACTTCTGTAATGGATAAATTTACGGTTTATCTTATAATTAAATTTTCAGTGAGTTTGGCTTTCCAACGCCAGATGTCGTTTATGATATAAAGCGAATGATTTCTCCTGATTTCGACTTATATTGTAAGACTAACAATCTTGTCGATTTCCGGTTGGACTTTGAGAATCGCTATCGTTCGATAATGAAAGAAGAAATTCGAAGTTATGAGCAAAGTCAACATACGAAATCTCCTGAAGCTAAATTTGGTGGAATTATTTAGTGAAATATTTTTGAATAGTTTCCTTTTAAACATTTTAGATTTTTGTAAATAGTTCGTTAAAATACGTGTTTAGATTGTTAATAGGTGCCTATAAATTGTTTTTTGTTGTTGTTGTTATTTCATTAAAAAAAAACAGTGATTGGTTTCTATCCAATTTCATATATGTTCCAATTTCTTTTATCATACCGTAAATTTCTGCTTATATAGACATCTCATGGCCAAAGGAAAGAAGATACATGTGAAAAAAGAACCAGGTCTTGCTACATCGAATGACTTGGTCCCTATAGATCCGTTGTCGACATCAGAAGTAACTGCAACCGTAAAAGTAAGTTTTTTTTTAATTTTTGAAATTGGGATGGATTCCTTGAAGGATGAACCGAGCCAGGCCAACGATTCGACCAACGAATCTACTACGTCAAATGATAAATTTCCCTCTTTCTCAAATGTTAAAAATGTCACAAACCCGACATTTAATTCTCGAGGACGAGGCCGAGCTTATAGACCAAATGGCAGCCGAAAACCGTTCAGAGTTTTCGTTCCAAAACAAACCGAGGTGAGTGAGATTTGTTCTATTGAAAATGCACATTTATTTCTATGATTTTTAGTCAAGTCCTCCTGAGACACTAATAACAAAGGAATACAAAATTTCGCCTGAAAACATATTATGTTTCTTCGGCACTGGCCACTTCATTTCTGCGCTTTTTCCCTCCCAAATAACTCTTGATGGAAACGAATATAACTCGGTTGAGCATTATTATCAAGCATGCAAGCTTTTCACTCTGGCCGGAAAAGAAGCTGCTGCTCAAACTAAGACGGTAACTCATTAGCCGTCGTGCTTTTCAACACGCTGAACTGCAGGCTTCGACTCCGCTTGAAGTGAAGCAAATCGCGAAACGGTTGTTGCAAAATGTGCCTAAATACAAAGTGGTCAAAAATAGAAAGAAAACAAAGAATTACAGTTTTTTAGGTCGATGAATGGAAAAATACCTATAGCGTATCGATTCTAAAGCATGCAATTTTGAACAAATTCCAGCAAAATGAAGAGTTACAGAAAAAGCTTTTGGACACTGGAGAGAAGATTTTAATTCAAAGTTATCATGGGTAGGCTTTTTTCTCAGATTTTTTTTTAGAATTTTTCCATTTTAGTGACTCATTTTACGCTGTTGGTGCAAATGATAAGTACACTATAGCATGGGCGCAAAGAAACAAAGACAAAGTTATTAAGGTAAAAGGTTTCATAAAATAAAAAGACATTCACAGAAATTCAGGTTCCATTTGATTTGGGCCCGGATAATTTCAAATACGTTCCTGTCATTTGTTACGGAAAAAATTTATTGGGTTTCATCACAATGCAAGTTCGCGACGAAATTCGTTTGAAGAAAAACGAAATTTAAGTTTGTTGAAAAATTGCAAGTATGTGCACGGTGTTCTAATTAATATCATAATATAATTTCATTTTGGGTTGCTAAAATGCCGGCTTTTTTCTTATCATTTTCTACAGTTGATCGACTCGTGTATTTTTCATCAAATGTTCTCAATTAGAATTTTTAATTGCCATAAAAATGATGAAATTTGTTGGTTCTCGCATTGACATTTCTAGGAGCCCATTCTGATTCATTTGCAACATTTTCGTAATGAGAGAGTAAAATTTTTGCGAAATTTAAATATTGATAAGTCACATAAGTGTCAATGACCGATTTTTAAACGTGTTTTTCTCCCGAGTATAAAAATTCATAGTCAAAAAATTTTACAGTAATTGCATCTGATTTTGTATTGAAAATGTTTTCTCCTCGTTCGTGTTTCCCAACTTTGGGTAACCCATGTTTTTTTTTACATTGATTTGTTGAGTTGTTTTAATAAAATAATTCTGCTTTTATAATTAAATGTCGTTTAATGAGAAATGTATATTGCATTATGAATATCTCAACTTCTTTTTTATCTTTTTTATTATTTCATTTTGAATATTTCAGATTTCAGTCAAATATGACAATTGAAGCTCGGCAAAGGTTTGTTTTTTTTTTTCATAAACAATTTTTGTAATATATTTCGAATTGAAAATATGGTAAATACATGAATTCTCAAATTATCCGAAGATTCGATTTTCGCGAAGCTTTTGTTATAAAATCCTACAGGTGCTATGGAGCAAAGAGCAACTAGTTTTTTTCTCTGAAATCTGTATGGTAGTATAATTCTAGAAAACGTCCAACTAATGGACGCGTCTCGCCGTCGGAGGTGAAGCACTTCATGTGTTACCTCTGCGGTGATATATTCAATCAGTCCATTGATTATCAACGCCACTTGATCGCATATCATCAGCTTATGTCGCTATGCTATCAAATTTGGCACGCAAAGGTTTTAGTTTTGATTAAGAATGAATATATAATGGAATATTTTAGAATGGACGATCTACGTCGAGAAGAAATGTGATTCGAAACGAGCCGAGAAATGCGATTGACGAAGTAATCGATGCAGTTGCCAGCGACGGTAAAAAGAAAAGACGAGCAAGCAGTTTAGATGAACCAACTGTTGAAGAATTAGAGAAATGTAGAATTTTAGATTTTATAGCTCAGTTCAAATAAATGTCTGTTTTAGTGAGAGATGTTGAGATACCACTTGATCAGAAAAATAAAGAATCAAAATCGGAGAAGAAAGAGCCGAAGCACAAAAAGAAAAAAGAATCTACTGATGGAGATGACGACATCATCAAACCAGGTAAATTCATAACGGTACATGATTAATAGTTATTGTTGGAAAAGGGCGTAAGTATCGAGGTGAAGTAGGATACTACGTTTTGGTGTAGGCAGAACACCGAGCGGGTTTCCGTAATCCAGCAATTTTTTTAGTAATTTCCTATTTTTAAATGCAAATGTTCCAAATTTTTATTAGGACTATACAGGTTAATGGCAAATTCTATTCAGAATGTTAGTATTATTCGCATAAAAATATAGCAAAATTTTTGCATAATCGCGATGAGATATTTCAATAAAAATTGTATGCCCCACAAATATTTAGGGTTCTCATTTTTTGTAATACATCATCTTTTTCCAACAATGTAAAAAACTTTCTGGATTATGGTTATTGCTGAGTTTATTTCCACCAAAACACAGGATCCAACGACATCACCTTTTTCGAGCAATATGAGTATTTCCTACTTCAAAAAGTTTGAAAATGTCTTTTGTCTTGAATTAAAAAAATAAGTGTGTTAAATCTATTCAGAGAGAACAATGTCTGACTTTTCGAAAAACTCGAATAGAATTTGCAATATCTGCGATTCTCACTTCAATGATTTCTACCACTACGTTAAACACTGTAAGTTGTTAAGAGATTTGCCCCTGAGAAATGATGCAATTTCAGACATCGACGTTCATCATTATATGATCGATTCAATATACATGCTTCTTTTTAACAAAAATGGAACACAGTTCAATCGCAAAATCAGTCCGCCAGGAAAATCATGTGGATCGTGCTATATTAAATTCGACAGAAATCAATCGTTAGTATAAACTGCAATTTTCTGTTGGTAATTTTAATTGTTTAGATACTTTGAGCATCTTCTCGAGCAACATACCGAAGACGTCATTAATGTTTTGTACAAAAAGTGCTTTTATACTCTCGTAACACATTAGAAGATCTTTTTTTTCAGATACAATTCGACACACAGTGTTGATGTTGAAGTGACGTTGAAAAACAAGACTGGACAGGACCTCGTCAAGAATTACAATATTCTCATTAAAGATGTTCTGTCAGAGATGGGTCTTGATTAATATCTTTTGTAACACAAGTGTATTTATAAACTCATTCAAATTCCAAATCTTTTTTTCTGGTGTCGATAATATTGGTATTTGTTTCCAATATTCCTGATTTTGTTTTGTTAGCTTGCGCAGCGTTGCAAAGGCACAGTCTGAACCTAAACCATACGCTATAAAAGCTATAAGCAGGCTATCCTTAATACGGTACCCTAATTCCAATTGTTCAACGTTGAATTATCGCGTCGAAAAAATGTTGGCCATCAATATTTAGGGTCATCACTTTTTTTCTGCGATGATAATAGTTTTTTCCACTCACTGAAGTTCATAAAAATTACTGATTTTTTTTTCGTTTTGTTCAAATTTGATGATTTTCAGATTTTTTCTCGTCTCCGTGCGGGATTTTCAGTTTTGCGCTCAATGAGCACTAAAAAATTTGGTCTCGATGATGTGGGAGTGACGAAATTGGGTATTGAAAAAGATCAAGCGAAGAGTGTGAGTGACGAGCAATGGAAGAAAGTGTTACCTCCGGAAGTTTTTGAAGTTGCCCGAGAATCAGGTTTTTTTTTCGATAAACTAACATTGAACTAATGAATAATAATAATAATAAACAAATTAGGAACTGAGCGACCCGGAACTGGAGGATTCGACAATTATTTTGAAAAAGGTCGATATGTTTGCGTATGTTGTGGAGTTGAACTTTTCAAGTAAGCAGGTTTAAGATTATTGTTTAATTTTTTGCTTGATGAAGTGGTGATTATTCAAAAACGATCACGCATTCACGCGAATACAGCCGTCTCGTAATCTTTTCGGGGGTTATGACTTTCGCTTTGTTGGTTCCGAGTCGTCTAAATCCGCCATAAAACCGACTATTAACGATTCCCGCACTCCACAGTCAATTTCAGTTATTTAGTCGATTATAATCGAATGTATTCGATTTCTAAATTATCGGCAACCGTCATTAACATGATTCGTGCAAGTGTGTCCAACAAAACTTGATGTCGTCGTTTTTTTTTAAGTGACAACGCCTTTTCTCGGGAAAACAGTGGTGATTGGCTGATTCGAATCGAACAATACACGTTTTAAGAAATTCCATTTAGGTTAATTAATAAACAAACGTGTAACAGTAGAAATACTTTCTTAACCAAAAAAGTTGAATTCATTTCCTACTTGTTCATTTGGTTCCCTTTTCAGGGAAAATCGCAGATCATCGCTGGGTATTTCTTGTCTTTCACATAATTAAAATAGCCTAGAGACCCTAATTCATTTTATTGAAAACTTTTTAAACGAAAAACTGAAAAATGAGAAGTGATAAATCAGAGTAGTTGGTCTTTCTAACTTTTTTTAGATCATATCTGTTCAATAATCGGGAAAATCGTTTATTTTTAAATAATGGTGAATTCCGACAAGAAATTGCATGGTTCACGCTGTATCAAATTAATGAGATCCTTTTTTTTTAACTATTTAAATTTCAGTTCTGATTCCAAATTCTGGGCTGGATGCGGTTGGCCGGCCTTCTCGAAATCTGTTGGAAATGACATGAACATTGTCAGAATTCAGGACAGATCGCATGGAATGATCAGAACTGAAGTTCGGTGCAAAAATGTGAGTCGATGTGTCGATGTCTCTGAAATCTTCGCTCTTTGCAGTGTAACGCCCATCTCGGACATGTTTTCGACGATGGTCCCAAAGAGACTGGCGAGAGATACTGTATCAACAGTGTTTGCATGGCGTTCGAGAAAAAGGACTAATTAATCTTGTGATTCTTAATGTACATTAACAAAATAGTTTCCAAAAAATGCGAGTATTCCGATCGAATGCGATGTTCCATTGATAAGCCTTTGAGTATATCAATCGTGTTCATTGAAATCCGACGTCCTTGACACACAATCCCATTACCGGCGGCCGCCTCTCAAATATGCTCTCATTTCGACACATTGAAACGTTTGCCGCTTTACCGCTTTCGTTCTTTTTGCATTGTCGCCTTTTTTTGTATTTGACCCATTTCGCGCCCGATTTTCTTTTTTATGCAATGTTGCGAGTTTTCGATTATAACTCACTTTTTCGAGAATTCCCATTAACGAGTTCCAATTAATCTGACGGTAGATAGCGGGTTCAGCAAAGAATCTATACGCTTCCTTCTTTTTCGACCTGGTGCTTACAGTATGATGTTTATTTGCGTCATTCCCATTTTCATAGGAAATTTACACACCCGATGGTGACTAATTGGTGGGACAAAGACAAGTAGGAGAAGGAGGAGGAGAAAAAATTACCAATTGGAATACATTCTGTATATATATATATAAAACGATGCCCAATATAATTGACGATGCTGCGAACATCTCAATAAAACGTTTTGTTACGAATTTCCCCGCCCAACGCGCACACTCAATCATTATTATGTCGGGTTTTCCGGCAAACCGGAAATCGTTGCTCAAAAAATGACTTTTAAATTCATTTATTATTGAAGGGAATCCCAATTTTTTCGCGCCATGAATAAAATTTTCTGTTGAACTGAATAGCCCCACTTGTGATTTTCGCTTTTCGAAAAAGAAACAACTTATAATCTTCTCCGTTTTCACTTGAATTCGAACTAACCCTTTGGATATTTCTCTTGATCTTTTTACACTCGAATTATTAATTAATTGAAAAATGTTGTATGTTTTATTGTTGTTTTTTTTCGCTTAACCGATTTCGAATGTCTAATCCGAATTTGAAACAGTTGCGCGATTCCGACAAAAACCGCATTTGTCAAATGATCATGAATGACCTAGAAAATACCGAAAAACTATGCATATATGTACATACATCGATAATATGACTCATTTGACTGTAATATAACAATTGTTCCACTTTGAAAATCGAACAATCGCTGCTGGTTCGAGCTGTCGGTTTGAAATTTAGTCGATCACTCGTTTGAGCTTTTTTATCAAATTGAAACAAATCAGATTTCGATAGATTTTAATAGTTAAAATCAGTGCTTCATAATCTAGAATTCAAGAAATCCTCAGCTTTTCAAAAAAAAAAACCTTTGATTTCATGATCTGAGAATCGGCCGCCTGTTACTGTAACGATCCATCTCCCAATTACAATCTGAAAACGCTGAAACTTGTTAATCGAACATTTTTTTTCGATGAATTCACGTTGTACATCGTCAACCCGAATAATTATTAGAAAACGAATAAGAAGAAGAAGCAACAGTCGTCGATCGACAACCACAACGACTATACACTTTAGATTGATAGTAAACATTGGGGGGATTTTTTGTGTGCGCGCAGCATGACATTCAAAAACGCACAAAAGTTAGCAATGATGCGCGGCCAAGTTGATCGTTGAAACTGGCCGCCTACAGGAGAAGCAGCAGCAGCAGCTGGACGACGATTGATTCGAACAGTTCGAGTAGCAGCAGTTGTGACACAATTCGCGGCGTGCGGACGCCCGGATCGCGTCGCTTCCCTTTCTGCCTTTTTTTAATTCAATATTCCTGTCCGTTTTCGAATGACTTTTCAAGAAGAGGAAGAGGAGAGGCAGTGAGTCGCATTCTATCCCCTCCCCTACCTCTCTCCCGATTGTTCACCCAATATGCCCATATTTGGTCCTGTTCGGACAAATTATCCGGCTAAAAATCCCGGTACAACTTTCGCTTCGCCGCACTATTCTCACTCTCATTCTTATTCGGGTTTAGATGTTTGCTAACCATTTTTTGTTCTTCTTGTTTTCATTTTTTGTGATCTTATCTATAGAAACATTTGTTTATTCCCAATCTGGCAACTTGTACTGCTATTTTCAACAACATTCGTTGAAATTGGCCTCCGACTGACAACATCGGTTATTTCAAACATTTCAGTTATCTATTTTTCCCAACAAAAACCACCTTTAAATCTAATCTATAATGTCATTTCTAAACTTTTTAAATCCAATAACCTCCTTCTGACAGAAAAATGTTTAATGACTTTCTGAAAATTGTCCATCTATCTTCGTTTTGCGACCTGATTTTTTTGATAAAAATTATTCCTTCGAAACTATTCATTTTGAAAAGGAATTCTGTTTTTTTTTCTTGACATTAATTTAGAAAATTACATCTAATTCTTGATCACCCGTAAACTTTCCACTGAATCACTGCTGCTTGCCGCAGCTTCTTCGAAATGGGGAATTTGTTCGTGGTGTTGAAGTATGGCAAAAATCATGAAGCAAAGTAAAAAACAATGGTTCAAAATTTGAAACTTCGGACTCAAAGTTTTGGAATTTTTGCAGAAAACGACATAGCCCACTCGATAGAGAATTCCGCGATCTATTTGTGTGCAAAATTAGAAAAAATTCCAAACCACCAAGTAAAAACACCTCCCTTTTAAAACCTGAAAAGTCAATTTTATATTTATTGGTACCGATATTTGCTCTATTAATTTTTTTGTTTTTTTTTTTCTTCTTAAAAATGTGTTGTTGGTGTTTGAACAGTACTTATTATTACCAGATTATTATGTGTTTCCGCTAGAAGAAAAAAGAGGCGCTCGCCCGGAAATTGCAGGTCTTGCGGCGATTTGAACTTTTATGGGAGTGAAAGTTTTCAGCAAAAACCATTCGTACTATTATTCGGAGTTGTTCTAAATAGATAAAGACAGATCAGATTTCGAAGAGAACAGATCATAAACTTTATGGCTTCTCGCAAATGCATTTTTCAGACATCCATACGAAATTTCAAAATTTGATTTTCATTCCTAATTACCAATAAATGCAATAATTGTTTCGAGTTTCAGAATGTTTGATCTCCAACATCATGATTGTCCTCAAAAAAATGAGTTGAAGGTCGTTGAAGGTATTTGATATGATCGGCTGCGATTTCTCGAATAAAAAAAAAACACTTATCAAAATAGGAAGTATGACCCAATTAACAGCATCATGTAACACTAATTAACAATATTGGACAAGAATGGGTGTCGGAACGATATTATCGAATTGTGTCATATCTGTTTTGCGTGCGCCCATTTTCAAGGCCAATAGTTTTCCCGAATATATTTGGGTTATCTTCTCGACGTCGGTCGCTGTTACCGCACCCTGAAGCGATGACTATAGCCCCCCCCCCACCAACCCCCGGCCGACCGCGATTGGTAAACGTTGTTGTCGAAATTCCCGAAATGATTGCAGAATGAATGCAATTGCGGTGTGACGACAGGCAGCCACCGATCGGGCTGCTTCTGCTACTATTCGAGGGTGGCCAATTATGCGAAAATCAAGCAGCCCTTCCCCACTGTACTTTTCTATTTCACTTCGTTTCCGCTGCTATAAACGTGTTCCCCCCCCCTTCTCGAGCCATTTTTTCTCCCCCATTTATGGATTGATTGAATATCCAAATCTTAACCAATTTCCAATTTATCTCATTTTTTTTCTAACGTTGAATAACGGCAATTTTTTATATTCTTCTGTCAAACAGTGCTAAAAATCTTTAAGAATTTTTAAAAGTTTGCTCTCAGCTCGAAAAGAATTTTTACGCTCTGAATTTTATGGACCTAAAATGTTTCGTTTTCGAAACGAAACATACTCGAATTCAATTTCAATTTACTACCCACTAGTTAATTTCCTTTTTGGGAAGTTTTCAGATGACAATTTTTGTGTTAGCTTCACCGCAAATTACATCATCTAACTGAGCTAAATTCTGAAAATAATTTTCTGAAAAATTCACATATCAAGAGTTTATATTTGAATTAAAAAAAAAATGCAAAAAACAACCTCGAAAATAGTTTTTGTGCATCATTTTCTTCGCAATTTTTCTCGTAATTCGCTCCAATTCTCAACCATAATTTGACTAATTTCTGATACTTTCCACTATTTTTTCTAGTTTATAAAAAACACACACAAATTCTTAATGATTTCTTATTTTTAAGCAAATCATCACGAAGATGCGCTGGGTGATACTAGTGCTGTTCGCGATTCAGTACATCCGAGCCGAATGTCCGCCGAACACATTCACATGCGCCGACGGCAGTTGTATTCCATCGGATTGGCGCGGCGACGGCGAGAAAGATTGCGAGGATGGATCTGATGAGGTTGTTGGGGTTACCGTCGAAAACGGAGAAAACGCGACCACCGAAGAGACAACTTTTGATGAGATCATCAGTCCTTCAAAAGGTGAGATCGAACAAGAATTCGAGTGAAAGCACACATTGAAAATATTCTATTAAATCTTCATTTTTTTTAATCAAAAGTTGGTCAATAATTACAATTATTTTTCATCAAGATTTCTCATACCTTCAAAATGTTATCTTAAACGAGACTTCCACGAAAAAAAACCGAAATTTCAAATCTCGAATTAAAAAAAATCCGGAAAACAGAATATCACTTTAAATTCGCAATTCTTCAGAAGATGAATGCGACTGGGCAATGCAGCAACGAATCGACAATTGCAGCGAGCCAATCATCGCATTTTTGCACCAAATCGAATCGCTCAATCTTAAAAACATGTCATTGCTCACTTCGACATCAATGTGAGCGCAATTAGCAAATCGCTCGTTAATGTGGTATTCAATCTCAATTTACAGTCAATCGAAAATCGAAACCGGCTGCGATTTGATGGGCGCATATCAGGAATGCGTCGGCGTCGAGAAAGGATGCACACCGGACGAGGGAGTCCATTCATGGGCCGAGGTACGGTTAATGGATCCCAATTCAAATGCAAATATTATGTGTGATCAGGTCGAAACATTCATGTGTCAGCTGGTTTTGCCGTCGGTTCGCGAACACTCCGAGTGCTTCAAATCGGCCGTTGATTCGAGATGCGACAACAGGTTCCGACCGCTTTTTTTGGTCTTTAAGGGATTTGACCCCAGATTGAAACGGCTTAAAATGCTTCTCAAATATGTTAGTGGAAAAGCGAAATTTTCAGCAAAACATCTTCATCGTCGACATTGTGCTCGATGGTGACAACGATCCAATCGGCCACAAGCTGTCTCGAGACAGTCAAACCATCGACCTGCTCGGCCGATGCCATCGAGATGTTGTCGCCAATCAGAGAAGAGACCGAGCACATTGTTACTTCAATCAGATGTGTGGTACGTCTTTCAATTCAGAATATATATTTTTTTAATGAGCCTTTAAATTTTCTAAATTTCAGCTCACCGATACTTCGACGCAATCGATGATCCTTGATGAGACGACAGAAACTTCGTCATCAGAAGAAGACGAGATGACATCATCTATTGTTACAACTACAACAACTTCCGATCACCCAACCGAAGAGATCGTCGAGAACAAGACTCCGCTCACAATCAATCTCGCCGATGCTGTCAACTCGCTTTACTATATTTATGACATTTGCTCATCCAATTACACGTCTGATCCATTTGCATCGGTCGCTGACAAAATTTGCGCGAAACAAGATGAAATCGCCAAATGGTCCGATTGTTATCAGAAGACATTGGAGAAGGAGAAGTGCGCGATTCGAAATGCGACAACCAAATGCGAAGCTCTCATTTCGTTCAACAACAACTTGGATTGCGCAATCATTACGATGAATGATGAATGCGAAATTGATGCTCAAAATTTGGTGGTTGAACTTCAGGAAGAGGTTTGTTGTATTCCCGTTTTTCGAAATCCAAATTCGACAATCGTAAGGGGGAATTCCATTATCGTGTTTAGGTAAATGACATGATCATCGCTGGAAAATGTTTCGAAGAAAAGAAGGACGAAACTGAGACGAAAGACGAGAATGACGGAGATTTCCATTTGAAATCCACATTGCCAAAATGCACCGAAGAGCAGGTATGAAGGAAGAGTAATTGACGAATCATTGACTTATCGATATTCTAGGAGAACGGCGCTCTTGGATGTTTAGTGGAACTTGTCGAGATCAATAAGAAGCTTACCGAATTCGCAAACCTTAATTTCCTTCTTGAGGTATTCAGTTTACTTAAAAATCGCATATGCATATTTAATTATCGAATTTCAGATCGCCAGTCCAAACTCAAGCGTTGTCGAAGGAATTTGCGATCTCTTCGAACGCTATGAGCAATGCCTTTCAACTACGATTTTCAAGAACAACCAGCGTTGCTCATTCGCTTCTCCACTCAATTCACTCGCTCGCATTGGTCTTGCCCCAATCTGTGCGCTCGATTCTCGTCCACTTCTGGCTCGTCATCGTCAATGCTTCGAAATTCTTGCGCACGATGCCGATGAATCCACCAATTGCCAATCGTCGCTTTCTTCGCTTTCGAACACTGTCTCCCTCATGCTCCAAGGTGTGCACGGAGAAGCTCTTCTGTGCAAATCATTCTACACCATCCGCGACACTTTCGCTTGTGGCGAAAACGCGGTTGCGAAGAAGTGCGATGCCACCGCGTTGCAAGACCTCCAATCCCTAAAAACGAAGGTTTGCGTCATTCTTTTACTAGCACTCATGTCGTCTTCATTGAAGGTTAGCCAACTTGGTGAAGAGGAAGGATGTCCACGTGATCCACCAGCGAACCTTGATGAGATCATTGCCAGACCGGTTAAGAAACCAACGCCAGTCACATTGCCTCCAACAAAGTACGATTTGCAGTTTTTTTTGGGAACGAAAACCGATGATTATCTTCATGAAAACTGAAACAAGTCGAACATCGAAAATTAAAAATTTTTTGAATCAAAATTAATTCAACAAAAATAGCGAGCGATAAAAGGAACAAAAAAATTCAATTGGATAATTTTCAGTATGGCTCCAACTGCTCGTCCGTTGAGACCAATTGCTCCGCCACCACCAAAACCAGCCGCTAAGCAATGCTCTCCAGAAGATCAGAAGAAGTTCGAGGAATGTGTGAAGCCACTCACCGCCTTCCAGCCACATCCATTGTCAGTTATCGCTGTTCCACGCGATATCGATCTTGCATGTGAGGCATTCCATACGTTCAAAGCCTGTTCCGAAGAGACAACGTGTCGTCCATTGTGGGCTCGCGGAATGAGCGCCATGTTCGAGTACGCATGCAATGAAGCGAGTGAGCCGTTCAAGAAAATCCGCAAGTGTATCCGCGAGACATCGATGAGAGAGGACGTGCGATCGTGTGTTTCGGATTTCTCGAGAGGAGCTCCAACCGCCGCATGCATGTCGTCGAACCGTCTTCACTCGTGTGCCATTCCGGCAATTCAAGAGAACTGCGGACAAAACGCTTCCGACTGGGTATCGAGCTACATCATCCGATTTGCGAATGCCATCGATCCGCGATGCAAGGTTGGACGGCAACTTCCAGTTGGAAAGGTGGTTGGAATTGGATGCTCGGTCGAAGAGGAATCGATCATCGAGCATTGTGCGGCCCCTCTCAACGACATCGGATCGCGTGTCGAGGAGCTTTTCGAAGGTTCCTTATTGTCAGCATCCAATATATTCATTTGTTCTTAGGTGGAATGCAATCGCTCATCAAGAATATCAACGCATTGGCACCGGTGTTTGCCGGAGGCTGTAATCTAACAGGTTCGTCGCGAAAATCTAGTCCAAATTCGAGTTTCACTGCAAATTTATCATTTTTTTTTTCAAACATTTTTCGCATTTTCAGAAGAATTCCGAACGTGCGCTCACTTCCTTCTCGATGGTCGTACCTCGTGTGTGGTGTCATCGTGCATGGTTGAAGCTGGACGTGATATCTGTTTGCTTTCCGACCCAGCGAAAGCCATCGACGACAATTTATCATGCCTCTTCGGACAGGTAATCTATGATTTCCGGAGATTGGATTTATTGATTCCCGTTTAGGCTCAAAATCCGAAATTCGCGCAATGCATTCGTTCTACAATTTCGACACTCAAAACATTCAATCTGTCCACGTTGAGAAATGTTCTTCCGAAATTCATTGACTGCACGAAAGACATCGTCACTGAGAAATGTGGAGAAAGTCCGATCAAGATTCTGAAGGCGATGAGCACTCCGGATATCTGTCCGATTCGTCCACAGACCATCCCGATAGTTCCGGTCAATTTGCCAACAACTCCATCACAAGACACTAAACTAACATTGTCGACTGTTCTGTCCGCCGTGACCACTTCAGCGACGACGACGACATCTGAAGAGGCGACCACCGAAGAATCGGAATCGGCTACTTCAGCTGCTTGCACCGAATCCGATCTCGTTGCTCATTTGCAATGCGAAACACATTTGGATCAATACGGATTCCGGCCGATTTCTATCATCAGGTATATCAAATCGTTAAGCGACAAAAAGGACCATTAAAATTTAAGCGATGCCTCGAAATGGGACGAATTTTGCGCAATGTCGAACACCACGTACTTCCCGTGTGTCGATGAGCTCAAGTGTCGCTATGAGCCAGCTTCATCTGCTCAAATCAATTTGATCGAGGGCATTTGCAATCGTGAAATCACTCTTCGCGATCAGAAACAGTTCGGAATGTGTCTGTCGGAATACACAAAAACGCCAGAAGGAAAGAAATGCACCGGGCATCTCGGAAAAGTCGATCAACTCGACAAATCCGCTCCAGAAGCAATGTGCAAAGGGTATTCATCTGAAATTGGCCATTTTTAGAATGTCGCCTATGTCGAGCACTTTCAGATTGAACGAGGTCGTTGCGTGTGCGAGCGCTGACATTGAGAAGCGTTGCGGATTCGACGCTGTCCTTCACGTCTTCAGCATTCACATGCATTGGGCAAATCTATTCAATCCATCCTGCATTTTGGAGTCACCCGAACCAGCAAATGTGCCAACGGTAAGCCAATGAGATTCATTGGAATCCTTCTGGAATATCTCAGTCCTAATTCAAAATTCAATTTGTATTATTGAATGGATTTGAGATCTTCAATTTTTCAACAATTCCAATCGTCCAGTTTCAGAGCATCGACGTCAACGAGGTCGAGCCGTCGCGCGATCAGAAGCCAGTCGTCGTTCAGAAGGACGAAACCACTCCAATGCCACCGTCATCCGAATCCAATGACATCACAAGTGTCGAGCCACAAACTACCACAACACCCACTGTGTCGCCAGCATCTACAGTAACCACTTACAGTATGATTGTTGCAATTGCTCTTGCTGCCTTCGTATTCTGACAATCTTGAGAATAATTAAATATCGTTCGTTCGAATGCAGGTCCCATCCTTTAATGTATGTATTACTATAATCATTATTATATTCCAATAGTATAGAAGTCAGCTCAATTTTTGCGGTATTGTTTGATCTGACTATTTCCTTCCAAAATGCCGCGAATCCACGTGTACATGGTGTGCTAATTATTTCCAATTTCTATTTGTATGCATTTTTTGCATGTTCTCCCATTTTTTCTGGTTGCCCTTGAAATTCGATGAATTTTTTCCCATATATTTCAGAATAATATCTCACAAAAATTGCAGGGCACCCCCATAAACGTCGAAGACGACCAAAATGAGTGGTTTCTGAGGGGGGGGGGAGGGGGTACACCGAGAAGGGGCGGCGATGGGCGACCGAAAAGAAGAAGAAGAAGAAGGAGAAAAAATGTCAATTTTGAAATCGACTTGAGTGCGGAAGAGACAAAGTCTCGTGACATTTTAGGCATGCGCCGTGTAGGCGAAAGGTCAGAGACGCAGTGGGACAAGGTGCGCGGAAATCGGATACGGTTGAGAGCGGCCGAACAACGACGAGTGACAACGCGAGACCCGCTGGACTGGTTTCCGTGCCACAACATATTATTTTTGTTGTGTTGCTTCCTCGAACTCATTTCATTCAAATTTTCAGTCGACTTGTCAAAAACTGCGAGGAAATGGATGGGATTCTCCACACGAATCGCGTCGGTCTGAATTTTAAAACATGAAAATTAACATTCCGATTTCGATGATTTTTTCTTTTGTTGGAGTCAAACGGATGAACCAAATGTTAAAAAATTATTGGCTATGCGCCAATGCGTCTCGAGGCATCGAGAAGTACGCAAGATTGCGTACCTTGCATTATACCATACGCGCATTTAATATTCAGTCAACACTTAATTTAAATCTACACTGATTTGAAGGCCCCGCCTCATTTAAGTGGTTTGACGTTGACAATCCAAAAATTAAAATTTATTGACAATTTCGAAGCCATGATTAAAAACAACTGATTTCATAAAAATACGCCTTTGAATACTAGTTATAGAGATTCAGAAAAAAAATGAAAAAGGGTTTATTTTTTTTTCTCGAAAAAAAAGTCTTGAAAATACTAAAATTAAAGCATTTTCAATAAAAGCAAATTTGTGTGCGGTGAAAATGATTGGAGAAAAATCGAGCGAATTTCCAAATTTAAATGTTACCCATTATTATTTTATGATATAAAATCGCATATTCATATCGTGCAATTTCATATTCCATTTGACTTTGGCCTGAAATCGTCACAAGACCTTCAACTCGACCACTATTTTTTTCGTCGTCAATAAGAAATTCATTTGAAGCGAATGGATGAAATTATAATCTTCTATTCATATGCTAATGTATTATGTTTCATTTCGCACATTTACAATATACACAATATATTTATTGTTAGAATCGATGAAGGAAATAACCAAAAATTGAGATATTGCTAACATTCGAAAATCTATTTGAAAATGTTTGGGCTTCTTCCCAAAATTTGAATGCAAATTTGAATCAAATTAATTATTTGACGAAAATTAGAAAAACAAAATGTCGAAAATTGAATGGAAAAGTGATGTGATTCCCCTGTTGCAAAAAATTTGCAATTAATTGAATTTATGTGAAACACAGCGTTTGAGTAGATTTACGGGCATGCGCCTTTTAAACGGGTCTCGATGCGATGCGCATTTCGAATTACACGTATTTGATATTTCTATTAATATTAAACAAAATAATTTTGGGTGCAAGCCAACCCGGAAAATGAGTTACAGTAACTCTAGTTTAAACCAACAACTTTTCACATGCAAAACGACATTTATTGCGGGTTTAATAATGGCGTTTTCATTTTCGAACCCGACAGAATCAACTTGTCACTCTTCAAATACTCCAATGAACCAAATGCGCATTTTTTTTGTTGTAAATATTGCATTACATTTTTTTTTTCATTGCGTTGACAATAACTTTTTCAAATAGTAACATTCCCATTTCATATGGAAAAAAATTGGTTTCCTGCATTCATATTTCATTGGAGATTTATATAGAAAAGAGCACAAACTTTGCGAGATTATTACCCCCCACAAATATGCAGAAAAGCGGAGATACATTTTCAAGTTTTTCTATTTCCAAAGAAAATGTTTCATTTTGTTTTATGCAAAAAATTTACAAATGTTTTAAGAAAAAACATTAAAAGAATCATTTTTGTTGGTATTTTTCGAATATTCGTCCGAAAATAAATAGTGTTGTTTGATTTTTGATCGTAAAATGAAAAACTAACAAGATGAAAATTGGCGGTTTGAATATTCTCCCCCGGTATTAGTTTCATGTTAAAGCCATTTGTGTGTCTTTCGATGATGATGATGTGTGTGTGTGTGTGAGAGCGAAAAGAACACAAATATAAACACAATGCGTCGCTCTGCGTCTCTGACCGCGACTCTGTCTGTCTAACTCATATGTTTCGCGGTCTCCGTGACGAATGGCGAATGCGAATAGTCGACGGGGCCGTGCTATTCGATTCGAAACGAAGAGGAACCTACGCACACACACACACAGAACCACGGATTGCTACAGCACACAAAAATATTTTCAGATTTTTTTTAGACTTTTGTCGACAATTCGTCTTCAAGAATCGAAAAACAAACAAACACACACGCACAGCAGCAAAAAACTCGAAGATTTTTCCGTATAAACAATCTGATTTATTTTCGTGTTTTTGTGCAGCCAAAAACATTCAAAAATGTGATTCTGATTATTCGCATTTTTTTTTTGTCGTTTTTCATTTTCGAAAATCATTCCGACGACGACGTGTTCAACAAATGTGATAAGACCCAAAAATCGGTGATATGCGACTAAAAATGTGATAGGAAAATGCGAGTTCTTAAAACGTCAAAAAGCGGTAAAATAATGAATTGCATTTATTTAATCAGGCGAACTCTGAAAAATAAAAAAAAATGAATATTATATCGAAAAAAAATGAATTGACAATAGTCAATTGATGAATAATCATGCGTTTTTTTTTCAAATCACGTCGAAATTGTTCGAATTTCCTGTTTCACACTTCCTCAAAATCGTACCGATTTATTTTCTTTTATCAAGTCTTCATAATTGGAGAATTGAAAAATAAGATTCCGTTTGGTTTTGGTTATTTGCTAGTTTCGATTCGACTACTCAGACTTTTGTTGGATCGCACAGGTAAATAAAATGGGCGACTGCAGACCGAAAAATGCGATCTTGATACGAATCTGCGGACATGTTTTTTCCACACAAAAATCTGGCACTAAGATTGATTATCGTTGATTGAAATGTATAGATAATGGAAAAAAAAAAACTAATATTGATTTGATTGAAGTCTAAAATGGAACTTTTTCTCTCAAAATAATTTTGTAGACCAAAAAAAATCTTCTAATTTTCCTCCAAAATAATTTTTTTCAGAAATCGCATTCATGATATAAATGATATTGTTTGAATGTCCCTCGAAAACTGTTGCAATTTTCAATTTTCCGGGAAGAAATTGTTCAAAAAATGTAAATTTTTTACACAACGCTTCTTCTATTTTTTTTTCGGCGTCCAGCAGCAATCGATCATGTCGAATCATCTCATCTTTGATCATTCAAAAAATTTTTTCCCTAATAAATCACTTGAATGAAAATTTCGGTTGGAAACATTCGATCTGAGACTGAAGTTCACTTGAAAATCACACCAAAATGATTAATCCTCGTTTCGGCGCGTATTTGTCTGCTTTCGGCGCGCCAGTCATGTGAGCTTTTCCTCATCTAACTAACTACATCCTTTCTAATGTGCTTCGTGTGGCATTCGAGAATTGTTGGACGCAATTTGCAGAAAGATTAGTATTCGAATGCTCTTCAATGGAAGCGGAGACGAAAGTTGTTAACGGTTTTATCAGCTGCATCGCAATCCTATCGCTCTCTCGCCGCCTCCTCATATGCCGTGCTCTCTCGTCGACATTGTCTCTGCGCTTCTCATCTCTCGTCACATCGGCCAATTGTTGTAGTGGGTGGTAGGGGTGTCCGTAGGGGCGCCCATCGAGTAGTTGGCCAAGCTGACGTGTAGAGTGTGTGCAATTTCGAGAGTGCGCCGACACCGCATTTTCCTAGCCTACTTTTGACCGGCTTTGATGCCTAATTGAGACGGGATTTTTGCCAATTTTTACATTCTAACAACTAAATTTCGATTGAAACAAAACTGATTCGACGCGGAGGAGAAGAGGGGAAAGAAAATTGAAACTAAAAAATGCACAGGGCGAATTGGCACAATTTTAGAAATCTCACCTAATTTGATGACAATAGTCTCGAAAAACTCAAAATGATTAAAAAAAATTGAGAAGGAAACCAAAAAATCGAATTCTCGGTTGTTTAAAGGATCAATGAAAAGAAAAAATAGAGATAAATTCAATGCACAAAAAATTATTTTTATTCTTTGCATTGAAATTTTCACCATTTTTGTCTTTTCTCTACACTTCCCGATTAGAAGATGATTCGATTACTAGTTGGATATATTTTAATCATTTTCAGAAATAGTCTTAAAGTAGATCAATATTATTATCCTTCTAAAAAAAATTGTATTTTTAATAAAACATGTTTCCTTCAAAAATTATCGATAATCATTTATATCGCGAATGTCGCCTGAACATCTGTGCTACAGTAATCGGCAGTCACGTTTTATTTTGTTGTATTGTGACAATTGACGTCAGCGATTTGGCGCGATGCCAAGCGCACCCATTGCCGGCCGGCCAGCCGTCTAACCGTCTGCACCGCACCAACCTCGGCCGCTTTCGGTCCGCGTATAAATGCATTTATTGATGGAAAAGAAAAGATGAACAACATTCGAAATGTTTTTCCTCAATTTTTTACGTCTAGAAGACAACGACTGAAAGTAATCGGCGAAAAAAAGGCATATTAATAATAATTATTCCAAACGAAAAAAAAAAAGAGGAAAATTGGTTGAATGCATCAATTTCAGAGACCAAACAACATCTCCAAACTTCAACAATATCTGAAATTTTGCGTTTTCCGGTTTTTGTTGTCTATTGAAATTTTAAAGGCGCAGTTATCAATTTCAACGTTCGCTAATGGATCATTAAACGAATGAGTGTGTGACTTGATAGGACAACTGCAGGTCATTTCTCTTTTCACACTTCACACAGATATTCGAAAAAGATGAATGTGATTGGAAATCGCATCCCATGTTTTCTTTTTGTTGTTGGAACAACTAGGAAAAAAAAACTAAGCAACACCAAGTTACGCCGCAAAATAATTGCAAAATCGATAGGCAAACATTTTGAAAATCGCCGGTTTGGTTCGAATCCCTTAAAAAAAAATGCGGGTAAAATTCCAATATTGGCCGCATATTTTCGCTTTCTTCCTTTCGAATTCTCAGATTCAGAAACTATGCAATTTTACACATGATTTTCAGTGGACTTCCTCGTCGAAATGTATGGCGCAGCACTTGCAACAAACCACTCTGCGTCCCTCACCCTTCGCTCTGTCATGCTTCGGCTAGAGAGCAGACATGCCCGGGTACACGAAGGATTTGCCCTCGACAGAAAACCATGAATATTTCTGTCGTCTTCACCGAGGGATGAACATTCCTCCCACCACCAATTTTTTTTTCTCGTCAACTTGCTCAAATTGTGAGCAAAGCGAGTGCGCAAATGAACAAAAATTGCAAGTTTTCCATAGGAAAATATGTCGAAATTTGTCATACGTCGGCTTTTTGACGAATTTCGAGACGAAACTCAATTGAAACACGTAAAAATCAAGCTCTCGATTAACGACCCATTCGGAAGTTTTACGAAATTGGAACAACTTCGACGCTTGTAAGGAACGAAGCAGCGGATATCTGATTTCTAATATATACTTATAAACCCGATGAGTAATCGATTGCAAAAAAGCATCGAAAAAATCCTAAAATTTGAAAGATGAAAAAGGATTAAAACTATTTTTTCCTTATAAAAATTTCGGACCCAGCTTTTTAATTAAAAAAACAAATTTTCATACTCAAATTTTCTTTCGATTATAACATTTCCGAAGATGTTTCCCTGTCTTAAGCAAAAAACTTAATGCACATTTAAAAATAGTCATTAATTTCGATCGAGAATGACCAATTATTTAGTAAAACATTAGGACGTTATCAATTTCGCAAGTTTACTGCAAAAAGTACACTGATAAGGTCCCCACATTAAACAGGACACAGCTAACCTTATATTTTCAGGTGCGAAGCGAAAATGTGAACATTATCAGCCTTTTCGAAAAAATCTTCCACGGAAAACAACCGCACGCAGCGCGCGGTCCGATGCGAAATGCAAGTAGTCCAATGGGGAAGTAATTAATTGTATCAAATCTTTTCCCATTTGCAAAAATTCGATATTAACATATAGCATTTATGTTCTGAAAAATAATTCATTCTTTTGTTTCTTCGAAAACTTTTTGTAAATCTGTTAAATATCAGTTAACACGAGTGTGAGCGCTCCTTTCATTTAATGGGCGTGGCGCGTTGTGCGGAGCGTTTCACGCGTCGCGGTCGTGCGTTGGTATATAAGAGCGAGCGGTCAGTGCGGTCTTTCTAGTTTGCAATCGGTCCGAGTCGCGAGAGACTCGCTGTTGTTGCTTTGGCACCTCAGTGAGACACAAATACAGAGACAACCGCATACGTTGCCCGCTCCTGCTGCTGTTTTCCATATCGGTGAACAGAAAAGGGTGCGCATTTGGATTGCGCCACAAGGAGTAGAAGCTTACGCACGTGATCTTCAAAATCACACTGCTTTCTCCAACCTATTATTATTTTCTCAACGACATGTCGCCCCAAAGGGAAGAAAGACGCACCGTGTCTGACGACGACGTCAATTCCGAGTTCCATCATAAGCGCAAGCGTATACGCCGTAAGCGTGGTGGTTGGCGCGTTCGTCCAGGATCAGCAATGTCTCCGGAAGACATTGACGAAACTTCACCAAAACGAAAATGCGAAAGGTTGGTTTCCACCTGATTTCTTGTCTAGATTTTTACGTCTACAATTTACAGGCAAGGAATGGCACCATCAAACACCACTCAATTTCTTCTGGATGATCGTGAGGCACGCGCAAAAGCCGAGGCCGAGGTTCGTTTTGGATTTTCCATTTTTGAAAGTTCTAGGAAGAAATTATGCCTCAAATGTCATTAATTAATTAGTCTTTGTTGAACAGAGCTACTTGAATATCTAAACTGAGGGCTTAATGTCGCATTAGATTTTTTTTAGTTTATGAGTAGAAAACTATTAGGGTAACGATTTCAAAGTTTATTTTGAAAAATTCGACTTTCGTTTCGAAACTTCGTAGGCTATATTATTACCGATAATTAGTGGATTATTCAAAATTTCATTTAATTTAATCAACGGGTTGTTGATTTCCAATTTTCAAAATCGTCGGTTTTCGAAAGTAACTCTACGTTTCTTGTCGATCTGCGTCTCTACGATGTAGGGATTGCCGAAAAGTGCGCCATCGTCATCTCGTTTGCCCCCTCTCACTTGCGCGCTCTCTCTCTTTTTTGCTGACCTCATGCATTAAATTATGTAGGTGGTGAGGCATAAAATCTTAATTATTCACTAACAATGTATTATTACTGTGAAATATTTTCAGAACGATATGAAAAGTGGTGATACAGCTGAACGCCATCGCATTCGTTCATTCAGTGTGGGAAGCGAAAAGCTAAATGGTAGCTACTTAAGCGAGCAGGGAAGCTATTCTGGAGATGATGAGATCGACCGCGAGTTTGAAGAGGAATACCTTGTAGTCAAGAGAGAACGCATTCAAAAGATGTCAAAAACAGAGGTAGGTCCTAGTTTCCGCTAATAAGTGGGTTTCAGAGGGTTTCTAAATTTAAAAAATAATTTATAATAAATAAAACGGCTCTGAAGCCCGCTCTGTATCCAAATAAAATGATAAAGTTGGAAGCGAAAATTTATTATAACGTGTGTCTTCCAACTCTATTAGTGTGTTTGGGTGAAGTAGGCTAGTTTTGGTAAGTGTTAATCGTAAAGTATACATGTAACTGGCCCAGAACACACGTTGAATATTGTAGAAAGCCGCAAGAACAAGTGACCACCGCCACCGGGTCCTGCTCATTTGTGGATGAGCTAGAAAAGGAGGTGAGATTGCAGGGTCGGCTCAGTGCAATGTCTCGCCTACGCAGATCGTTCATTGTTTTAAAATGAAAAGGGTTCTAGAATTTCGTTTCCCCGGGATTTTCTCGTTATTTCTCATTTTAATGTATATTTTTTCAGCTCGAGCAAGAACTACTGGAGAGAGACCGCGACACCGAAAGTCTGCATGACCAAGTGCTGAAGATGGACACGGAAAATCGACAGCTCAAAGAGCTTCTACAGAAGAGTGGAATTCCGTATGATATAGATTCGCAGACTGTGACTTCGTCGACGACTCCCACATTTAATACATCACCTCGTGTTGCTGCCAAATGATTTACCCCAGTTATCATGAAACCAATGCATAGTCACCTGTTAGTCGCACATATTGGCTTGTCTAGTTGTATTTAGAAATTTCGTTACATTTTGATGCATTTAGAAATTTCTTCCCGAAACCTTTGCCACTTTTTGTTTGGGGTTCCAATCTTCAGATTCCGAGGCTGGTACCTCTTACTGTACATTCAAACTTGATGCTACGGAAAGAAATTTGGACGAGGGTTCTGTAGCAGCGGGTTTGGTCATCAGCTTGTTAATACATCTTGAACTGTTGTATTTTTTCATTTATACCACATTCTCATGTGTTACGGTAGATGATATTGATAATATGGGTATCGTGCCTAACTCTCGTAGCAAATTGTTTTTTGTTGTTCTCGTCCTACCCCCCCCCGCTTCCCCGTTAATTTTGGTTGATTCTGATCCCGTATAACGGGTATCGATCATTTTTTGAGCATTTCGCTCTTTTCATTCTAACCGTCAAATTGCGAATTTTTGTGTACGACAATTAATGAAAATTTATTATCATTAAATGGTTGTTTTTAATTGGATCTTGTTGAACCATTGTATGATATCGTATGAATTTGCAAACGTTTCAAGAGTAACAAGAGAACGAATCGTGAGGAAATCTTGCAATGTTAAAGCTGACGATAAGTGATCCTTGTATTTTTGTATCAAGTCATCACATTGCTGAAAAAACCGATTTTTTAGTAATTCGAGAAATGTCAAACTTTTCTATTTTTAAATATAATCCGTTTCTCGAAGAAATGAATTGAATTAAAAAGTGAACAAAATATACAAAATATTGATGCAGAGTATCTGGATAAAATAAGTTGATCTGGTGAGAAATTTATAATCAATTCGCTGTTTTCTCTCTGAAATCAAAAATGATTTTAAAAATAAAATTTTCAAAAAGCAAATTACATTTTCGATAAGAGAGTTCAAAATTTGAATAATCCGGTTGACAATGTTCAATTCGGTAAATGTATTTTCTCTCACAATTACTGATGTTGATTCGACGTTTGAACCCGAAAATAGATCATTAGTAGTCTGAAGTATATCATTTGAAATGAAAGGAAATAATTGTTTTTAATACTTTGTTCAAAATTTTGATCGATTCGTAAACATCTGGAGGTAGAAACATTGTACTATTTATTACTAGAGGCTCAGTTGAGAAGATTATCTATAAATAATTATTTTCGGGATTAAGAACTCATTGAGTGCGAACTTTTATATCACATGTTGTATTAAGAACGAGATTATCGCTTTTTGATGCCTGAAACATGTCAAATTTGGATTTCTTATTCGATTTTGAAGGTTTTCGCACGTAAACACCAAATTTTGTTATCAAATTTCACCTTCGAAATATACTCATTGAAACAGTCTAGAGCGTTCGTAGACGTTTTCAATTCCGCCAATCTTTCAATCAAATTGTGGCCGATGCGTTGAAACCACGGCCGATAGCTGTCATCAGTAACCGGTGATAAATGCGATTCTCTGAATATGATATCAGGTTTGATTTTATCGAAAATTTGAACATTAACAAATGGAAATTTTGAATTTAATATTAAAAGAAAATATTTAAAAAAAAACATAACTAAAAAGGCTAATTTAATTGGAGAGATTGGAGAGAAAAATTTCGGAAAAGAAAAAAATGCATATTTTCGAATATGAATGTAGTGTTCGACGTCCGGCGGCTGCTATACACGGGTAGAATTCGCTATAATATCGCGAGCAAATTTTGACTATGTTTTTTTGCATTCTAGGGTTCATATAACTCATAAATTTCAAACACGTTGGGAAAATTACCACGAAGAACGAAATAAATGTTCAGACGATGGCAAAAAGCACACCCTGTAAATCTACCCGCATACATTAGTCGCCAGAAGCCGATTATACATATATTTTGTTTTATATTTTTATTCTTGGTTTGTGGTGTCGATCTCAACAGTTGTTTTATTTATAAATAGCTATTTTATAATTAGGGTATAATTTTATCCATTTTTAAAAAATAACTCTTAGGATTCTAATACTGATGAACTGTCTGGTTCAGATAGTGTAGATTGAAATTTTGCGTTCACTCAATATTAAATGCACGTATGCTAAAATGCAAAGTACGTAGTTTTCGTTACCTCAAGATAATAAAACCATATCAAAATAGTGATCACTTAATATAAACACAAAGAATACGTACATTTCATGAATCCGTCCATTAATTTCGTTCAATCGTCGACAATATTACCATCGCAAAATAATGAGAACCTTGGGTAATTGTGAACCATCGTATGTTTTTTCGGGCGGTAATTCAAATTTCGATTTAAACAGTGTGAATTTTGTACCGTCCTACGGAAAACCTGCGAATCAACTCACAGGAAACTAGGATGCTCGTTTTTTGCGATGATAGTATTTAGAGATGAAAAAAAAATCGCAGTCATATAAATCAAACTCATAAAAAACGAAGCCCGCGATTCGGCGGACGCCGAAAATAACGCAAAGAATTTTAAAGAGCATTATAGAATACCTCAACGGTTGTGATATTTTCGAAAATTCTACAATATGAAGAAACGCGTCAACTTTCTTATTGAATTCTCTCCTTCTTTTCGATGTCTGAAATTTTAAAATTATGTATTTAGGATATTTTTTCGTCAAATACTTGTTCGCGTTCAAATGTTTTTAAATTTTCATCTATTGCCATTATTTGTTTCGTCATGAATTCAATTTCAACCGCTGAGAGAATCTGAATATTCGTTTTTTTTTTTGGAAAGTTAAACTACTATCTCTTCACTTTTTCATAATTTCTTTTGTGATTATTTTTGCGAGAAAATCCGGTACAAACGAGATATTTCTGCAATTTTTATAGAAAATTTTGATTTGTCTTATTTTTCGCAGAAAACCTCTGAATTTCCTGGTTTACTGCAAATCGGTTTGTAAAACTGAAAATCATCAAAGTACTTGAGACAGTCGGCGATCATTTGGCGAAACTTTTTAGTCGACATTGTAAAAATCTGAATATCACAATTTATTCTCGCGATTTAGAATTTCATCGAAAACCTTTAAAACAAAACTTCCGCATTCTGAAAGCTGCGAAATTGCGTAACGAATTTCAGCATTTATCAAGGGAAAAACAAGCTCTTCTTGTTTTTCCGGACACTTCTTAATCGGTTTTCAAGGCATTTTTAAGAAATTGATGAAAAACCTGTGAGTAGCAACTACCATCAGCTGTTATCAATTCAAAACCGTTGAACGTTTCGTCAATATACTGAAAAATTCCTAATAAAATGGTAAAATCAAAATTGGAATACTTGAAGAATGTTTCCGCTATTGTCGACTCCAAAATCCCAATTTTCTTCATGATTTATCATCAAAAAATCGTCGAGCAGCATTTCTGCCGATTTTGTATTCTCATAATATGGATTTAATCTTTTCGTTAATTATATTTTTAATAATTTTGGATTTCAGTTCACTTACGAATTGGCTTTCCATTCCCAATTGGTGCAAGGAGCATGAGTGCATAAATATCGATCCAAGGCCATTATAAAATGACCGGGAGCTTCACATAAATGAAATGATTTAAAATCGCTAGTTGATGGTATCAAATTTGGGTTCAATGAAAGTATTTCGAGAAATTTACATTGTGCCTGGCTGATTTTTTGAAAAAAAGGCCTGAATTTATATATTTTTTGAATTATTATATATTTTTAAAATTTACTTCATTATTGATTGAATCTTCCAGCTTACATGAACCCGTTTTGTATGCATACGCCAGCGCTTTTTATTTACATCATTTCGGCAAATTTGATGAATTGTTTCCTTAAATTCGTAAAAATGTAGAATAGTTTTATATTTGAAAATTCACCATTTTTTCCAAAAGCCGTTTCACAATTTCTTCGTCTTCTGGATAGTCAGTCATAATTTTTTCTAATCCTTTAAGCTTTATTTTTTCGAAAAAATCCACGATCTGAAACGCATATCGTTATCATTTTCAATATTGAGAATAAATATGGACGCGACTACGGTATGCAACGCGTATACACATCGTCGTGAGGTGCGATGCGGACCGATATTGATTTCGCGCGTCGCGTTCTGCGACGCTCTCCAATTCGCACCACTTTTGTCATTTCTGTTCTTCCGCTTCGCAATTTTTTCTCTTTTCACTTTTCTTATGATTACTTGATCATTTTCCACATTTGAAAATATTTTTCAGCATATTTTACAATTTTCTTTCCATTTTTTACATTTGTCACGTTCTTTCGTCGTATAACGCGTCATTTCTTTTGAGAAGTATTGTCTAAACATCTTGTTTTCAGTTCGAAATGGCTACCGACGAAGACCTTCTTCTCGATGTTGCGTTAGGCGAGGACACCGAGGAAACTTCAACGGTATGTACGCATTTTTACGGGATTCATGCGTTTTTTACAGGTCATCGACGAAGACGCTCTTCTTGGTTTAAATGAAGTAAGTCGCAATCCAACTGTAGATTGCGAAGAGACAAATAATCAGTTAGAATCAGCTCCTTTGAAAGAGCAAGTAAGTCATATTTCTCGGTGAAGATGTTTTTGTTTTTATTTATTTTTATTACTTTTTTAAATATCCAATTAACGGTTTGTGATTGTTATTTGGAACATTTGTGCTTCCCTTGATAGATCTATTCCCCTTAAATTTATTCAATTCTAATCATACGTTCGTTATAATATCCCATTTTCTTTTCATTTATGACCAGTACTATTTTAAAGTTATTTTTTTCGACTTTGCATTTTCTTTTTTTTACAACCATGGGCTCACTATTTTTCACCCGTTTCCACAATATTCCCACATTTCCCATCTTATTGCAATACGGGTTTTATTGATTCCCATTCGTTTGATATTTCCGGTGCTATTTGTCAAATTATGCTCAACGTTGACATTATGATCGCACTATATTATGCAACGGGTTAATGATGGACATTTATATGTTCTGTTCTGAAGAATAAACTATAATATTAATTAAAAACCGGATCGCAGATAATGTGTCGAGGGATGAAGGGCTTCGAAGCCATTGTGGACGAAGAATTTACAGCGTGTGAAGTGTTATAATCCGCTATTTTTACTATATGTTGACGAAGAATTTCCCCCATAAATTTGCCATGTAGTAAATATATTCAGAAAGCGCTCAAACATCATTTTCGGAGACAATAGATTTCTAAAAAGCATACCTGATCCTTCTTGATGTATGATCGTTGTGCTTTTTGAAATTAAATATTTCAAAAATATTAAATTTAGAATAAAGAATTAGTTTATTTTTTTGTGACAGGTTAAAGTTAGGCACAATCATTGGATCAAATTTACGCTCGCTAATTCAAAATTGAAAAGTTTAAAATATAATTTAGATTATTGCGTTTTCATTGAAGAATAGTAAACGTATTGCGCGAAAATTTAGTTTTGTTAAAATCAATATTTAAACACTTCTATTTAGATTTGTATTTTTGAATTTAACTTAGTTTATTAGCGAACTTCGAGGCAGATTCAAATAACGAACTAAAACTGTAGAAACCGATAATTTCAGAAGACTGAGGAACCCGACGACGATGATGATGATAACCATGTCGACAAGGAGGAGCTCGACTATGACGAGGAGGAGGAGGACGAAGAAGAGAAACGCGAGCGAACGAGCCGATACGCATCGGAGCGTCGCAAGGACAACGGCGATTCGAATACTGAAAATGGAAATGAGAACGAGGAGAAGCCGAAGCGTCGTACTGATATTCCGTCTCTTCTTGATAAGGAAGTACCAAAACCACCTCATTTGAACCATCGTCAACCACCACCACCGAATCAACCAATCGGTAATAATATTTACATATAATTCATAATTGAATCAAAACTGAAAAAAAATAATCAAGGTGCTTTGGGGAGTGTGATTATTTGCCAAAAGCTCATACGTCAACCCAACGTTTTTCAGTCGTCAAGCTCAAAATCGATGGAGGGCCGCCACAAGAGTTCCGGCCATCTAGTTCATTCATGTATAATCCGATGCCGATTGTTCCTCGACTTCCTAATGGAATCCCGTTAGTTCAACTTCCACCGAACCACGGTTGTGCCGGATTCGGGAATAATTATTCGTGTCAACAACCAAGAATGGTTGGAGGAGGCGGCGCTTCCGAAGATTGGGATCAAGCTGTCTCAATGTTCTTGAGCAATACAGCGGGATACAAAAGATCGAGACATCGAAGCTCGTCGTATTCGAGCGATTACAGCGAAGGCAGTGATTACAGGTATTGTTAAGGTCCGTTTTTCCAAATGTTGAATAGAATTGTTTTAAGCTCGCGTTCAAGATCTAGATCCAGATCAAGAAGTCGATCGCCAAAAAGACGCAGCCATAAAAGAAGGAGAGATCGTAGAAGAAGTGCTGATCGTCGTCGTCATCATCATGAAGATCGACGCAGAAAGGAGCAGCAAAGAAACGTATATATTATTATTATTTGGTTAAGTCAATCTACATTTTTTCAGTCCACGATTGAAAGCGCAAAAGCTCTTGGTCTCGACAATTCCTATCTCGATAAAGTAAATGAGCAGAAGCGTAAAAGAGAGGAAATTATTCGAAAGAAAGAGGAACGAAGATATGGATCAGAAAAGTCTTCGAAATCGGTAAATTTTGTACTCTCATTTTGTTTTTTTTTAATATTATGAATTTTATTTTGTCAATTTCAGAAATCGAGCCAAAGTTATTCGACTCAACCGTCGTCTTCTTCAACATCCGATCGCGAACGCAAACTGAAGGCGTATCTTGCAGTGAATGTAAACAATTTGAAACAACTTCCGACTGCTGTTAAAAAGATTGAATCAATCGCGGAAGCTCTTGGGCCGATTAAGGTAAAAAAATTTATGGATATTCCCTAGAATGAACTTGACCAATATTTCGAATAAAACGTTTTGCGGCATATGAGCCAGATGTTGACATTTAACTTCTCGAAAAAAAACTTTATTTGAAAAAATTTTGTGGTGAAAAGATTGCGATGACTTTTGAGAAATTTATTTGAATTTTTCTGTTTTCAGAAATGCTGGAGGTCGTCTGATGATGTCGTTTCGATTATTTTCAATGCGCACGATAAGGCAAAAGAATTCATGTTGAAATATAATAAGTAAGCGGTTATTTATTAAGATTTAAACATAATTATATTAATTGTTCAGTCAAGTTATATCTGGCCTTCGCGTGGGAGTCTCGCTCGAGAAGAAATATCTCAATTTAAGCGAATTATCTTAAAATGTTTGAAGTGTCGCTTCCATTCGACATCTCGCTATTTTTTATTGTAATCTTTTATTGTACAAATATAGTGGTGTTTTTTTAATAATATATTTAAATATAAATACACATAATTTATCACAGATTATTGTTGGCATTTGATGCGAGTGGCTTCAAAAGCACTTTGCTGTTCTCCTGAATACTCATTCTTTGGCGACATTCGGCTCCAATCGCGCGCTTTTCCAGACGCGAATTCCAGTATTTGCTTATGCTTTCGATGACTGTTCGATTTGTATAGCACACGATGAGAGCCACAAATAGTCCCTGAATACGCATGATTGTCTTTAAAAGGAATATCGAATTCAGCACCTGTAAGCCGTTTAGAGACTGATCAATCGCCTGGTATACGGTGTTTTCGAATCGATATATCGTGAGAAGCTGCTGAATTCCGAACACTGGAATCAGCATTAGTGCTCCGCGAACAGCTTTTCTGTAAAAGTTGTGTCATTTTTTGTGTTTCGCTGAATCTGGATAGAACGATTCGAGCGGTTTTCAATTTTATCCATCAAATTTCCAATTTTTTCACTTCAATTTCGAACCCCCCCCTCCCTTTAGAGAATTAATTCGAAATCCGGTGCACACACCGAGTAATCTTGATCTGGGTGCCGTCCTCGGCGGTTTTTGAAACGCGATACGCTGGCTGACGACGCAACGTGCTCTGCGTCTCATCGCGAACTGTTCTCACTCGCCACGGCTCAAACTAAAATTGAAACAAAAATGAAACCGAGAGCACAATTCGTGGACGAAAAAAGACACACACACACACGCGGGGATAATGTTGCGATAGGGAATACCACGCGGTCCCAAAATGGATACCAACCAACCAACCTGTATTGGATTCGTTCGAGGTGCGGATCGCACCGAAGCTTTTTCACCAAAATGTACATGACGAGGGTCAACAGAAGAACGTTGACCTGCAAACTTCTTCGATGAATCATTTTGAAATCAATCGATTTGGCATTCACAAGGCATTCCCATCGAAACTAACCATCATTGCAAGAAGCGACGGCACAATGATCATCCACTCGACACCGGCCACCAGCGAGTTCTCGATCCAGCACAATCCGACCTCGTCGGTTATGCCACGGACCATCATGTAAACGGCGGTCAGAACCGCCGGCACTCCCCAGCATACCAGTTTGTAACTGTTCAGCGTTTCATCCTCGCTGTGTCTAGCCGAATAAAGTAGACGAAAGAGATAAACTCCTGAAAGTTGGGAGCTGATCGATGACTGATGGAACCCCCTAGTTGAACCTTCGGCAAGCATCCACGAGAAATTGCTGAGACGAAGGAATCGTAGTTGAATCGAGAACAACAGGCGACAGAAGATCTAGAAATGAGGAATAAGACAGTTTGGAGAAATTGAGTTGGTACATGATTCGAATAGATGAAGGAGAAGAGTGGAGCATCGGCGACGACGAATAATGAAACATTTAGAAGATTCAAAGCGCCATAAGCAAGAAACGAGATAAGTAAATGTCGGTGAAGGATGAACATTGGTTGCGATCGAATTGGACTGGAAGCATTGTCTGATATGGGAATCGGCTCTTGAGTATAGAATACCGTAGGCATGCGAGCAACATGACTGCTGGAAGGACAACAACCACACTAATCGAGTAGGTGATGACACCGGCGATGAGTCGGACTTCCGGATCCTTGGACAGCGAGATTGGACATTGCGAATAGTTCGTATGCTCCTTTCCTCGTCCGTCATGATCCTTCCAGCCGTATTCAGTACATTCTTGTACCGCTTTTTCTGAAGGAAGGAATGCGTATGATCGAAAGTTTTCTTCAAGTGCTTCTACCTCTACTGGTCCTGTCATCCAGTCGATAGTGTCCTCCGTAGATGTACGAAGGGCATGGCGCAGTCGCCGGTCCCACCGTGCTCCAATCAAAGCAATTCCAGCCATCCCATGTCGGCGGGCATTTTTGGCGTGAGTCCGTCGATTCTACAAATAATCATTTTCGTTTACCACTCGAATCTCAACATTTCTCAAAATACTCGTCATCAATTTATTTCTGCAGCAATTGCGCGCTGCCGCACAACAATCGCGAGTCACATAGTCGAATTGATACGGTAGCGGCGGATTGAGCACGAGCTCATTCAGCGGTGTCGTCCAGTTTCTGGAAGTTTCGAATTCAATAAACATCGTTCCATTCGTTTCTGTTTTTTCTTTCAATCATTTCTATTATTAGAATGCCATCTGATATGACATATCATGTGATATCTGCAAGCAATTTTTTTTAGCAGAATTGATTAAAATGGAGCGGATGGATGATATACCTCTTCTGAAGGCATACAGTACGAATTGATCTGTAGATTATTCACCAAAACTATTATTATTATTATTTGAGAAGCCCCAAATTTTGAAAAAAAATTTTTTTTTGGGTTGTCTAGAAGAATTAGACGGTTCAGAATAAGTAATGAAATGAATTGAAATCCTTTGTAATCCTCCACAAAATGGAAGACAATTGATGTCCTCAATCCAATTGACTGCTCATCGAAATCGTTTTTTTTTCCGCTTTCAAATATTTACTTCTTGCCGAATACATTTTGAACTGGTCAATTTGTCGCCCTCAATTTCGAACACTGGCCTTCTGTTTGCTTCTTTTTTTTCCTGTCCCAATCATCGCAGGTTTGGTGGCGACAAAAATATCTGGCGACACAAATCATATCTTCTCATATTTTGTTGCGATTCGATCGTCGCCGGGCCGCCGCAGAGTTTTGAGACGCAGAGCCCCCAAGGTCGATTCGAAAGGTTGTCCTCCGTGTGTTGTGTGTGTGTGTGTGTGTGTGTGTGTGGGAGGATGAAATACGCATGAGAACATCATCATTCAAATCGGACCCTTTTTTGCTTCACGATTCCGAAGGATTTACGGAAGAAATGAAACGAAAGAATGGGTCGTCGACGCCAAGTCGAATTCGATTCGCTGCTTCGAATGGCGTCAATGCGTTTGATGGATGACCTATTCACGCCCTTTTTTAGCCGATGGAAGAGCCTCGCTGACACCTCGTTCGAGAAATGTTTTTTTTTCTTGAACACACACTCACTCACAAAAATGACTGGGTGGTCCCTGAAGGTCTGAATTCTTATATCAATCTTGTGTCACTCAAATTTGGCGGCGCACGTTTTTTTTGGTTTCGACACGAAGATGATCAGAAATTGTTGCACAAAACGAGCAGCGGAACAGCTCGCGGACATAAGGATTCGAAACTGGAGCAATAAATCATGTTGGATTGGTCAGGGCTCGCCGAATGGTGTGTGGTGAACAAGAAGCTCGAAATTTCGAAACGCTAATCAATTCAACTTGTAAACTAAGTAATCAAATTAATTTTTAGCTTACAACATCGCATTGTCGGACCATATTGCTTGACAATTCGGACGGACCAACAGATCGACAAATGGGCTTGACAAAAGATCAACAAAACTTGATATTGAATGAAGCAGATATTTTTTTCTTGAGAGAGAAAATGGGTATTCAAGAGATCATTCGAGCACACACAAATTACTTATCGATTCTTTTTTTTTTTTGAGAGAGCCCTCCTCTTAAATCTCTTTGTCTGGAACACCGGAAAAAAAGGTCGAATGACTCAGTCAGTCCCCCGATCGCCTCGTTTGCCATTTTGGTTGGCGAAAATTTTGCGCCTCGAGGAGTTCAACTTCCGGACCGCAACACTTATTCAATTCGGTCGACATTGCCTCCAAAAAAGGAGTCGAGCAATTCAATTCAAATCATTCGGGTGCTCTGCAGCGTTGGTCTCTATTGCGTGCCGCCCGTAGACGACAAGCAAGCATTTGCTTCGATGCACATTTCAATCGCGTCTTGAGAAAATGACCAAAACGGTGAGGCGGCCGACCAACCGACCGAATGGCATGTCGAAAGGAAATCGACGACCCCGACCCCCCCCCCTTCAATTCTTTCTCTTTTTGGGAAAAGCGCGACCTCTGAAAATCGAATTACCGCACCCGATGGCGAAACGTTTCGAAGCAGGATGTGAACTCTCGGAAATACAAAAAAAGAGAGCACGAGTGCAGCACACACCGAGTCGCGCTCAATTTCCGATACTCGGCACTCGCTTGTTTGTCACGGATGGTCCCAGTTCAGCCCCCCCCCCTCCGTTTTTTGTGCCTACCCCGAACCATGAAATTGCATTCCGAAAAGGTCTCAATTTCCAATTAGCCCCGGCCGCACATCGAAACTAATCCCTCGTGCCACCGGAATTAATTCGCGCGTTTTTATCCCCCCCTCCCCCAATATCCAGAAAACAATTTTCTTGTCTCAAAATTCGATTGGACTTCAATATAAATAAATAAATAAATGAAAAAAAAAACCAACTTGATCAACGCAAACTCTTCGAGATTGTAGACGTGCGCGCGCGTCTCACAATTGCATTCGGATTCGGGCGTCTCATTGGGACACACGAGGATCCCGGAGAAGTTGGGACACAAATTGATTCGATATCTGCAAAATGACATCACAAAATAATTGGGGGCCGAAGACGTCGCCGCGATTACTTCGAGCTGTAGGGCTCGACGAGCATGAAAATGAAGTAGAAGCACGCGGAGCACGCGACCGAATCGAATTGTTCGGGTAGAAATTCGCCGTGATTCGAGAAACGGCATGACATCTGGAATTATGAGGAATTGTGGCTCTCATTCTGTGCAACATGGTCGCATGATTTTGAGGCGGCGAATGAAAGACAGAACGGGCGGACGAGCGAGAAAAAAAAATGAAATGGGGGCGGAGTTTGTGGAGGCAAAAAAACAGAGCACGATGATTGAAGACTCGTCCGAAAAATCGCGAGAATGAAAAAAAATGAAAATAGAAGAAATGTACAGTAATCGGCTAAAAAGGGGTAAATTTGGAACAACGGAATTCGGAAAAGATGAAGGATGAGATACAATTCTTACAACTGCTCACAATGTATTCTAGAAATGATTGATGAGACTTTGGTGATCGGTTGGAGAATAAATCAACATTCCAAATAAATTGCGACACGAATTTGTCAAGTCTACTGATTTTGAGGAAGAAAGAAGGATTAAAGGATGAAAAATGAAATGTTGATGGGAAAAAAATCAACATTGAACAATTCAAAACAGACATCATTTGATCTGAATGATTACACAGAGAGTACGGTATTATTAAGAATGAGAAACTTGCTCAAAAATTCAATTAGATGAAGGCTTCTTGAATCGACAACAACTCTTCAATTAATTTTCCATCATTTAATGGCAATGTGTACCAGTTATCAAAAGTTGTGGCCAATTCGAATGAAATGCATATGTGAAATGGACAAAAAGTTTTTTTTTTTGAGAGCGGGGATGAGAATGTGCCATTAATATCAAATGGGCTCGATGAAAATGGTGAACTCAAATCGGGGATGCTTTTTTTGTTGTTGTACAAGTCAAAAATTAAGCGTAGGCGACCGAAAACGAAAACAATGCAAATTGGAAATGTTTCAAAAAGCAGCAAGAATGGCAAACAAGCGAATTTAAAATGCGTCCACAATGTCGCGTTTTCCCATATTCATACACTCAAATGCTAATTATAGAAGTACCGAACGAATCGCGGCGAGACCTACCGTATAGGGCGAGTGATTCGATGGGGGGGGGGGAGAATTGAGAGACCGCCCAGGGCGAGCGAGTCTATCATTTTTTTTTTGCAGCCGAGTGGCATGAACATTAATCCAGGCACGATAAAGTGCCGTAGCTCTTGAAACAAATGCAAACCGAACAGCAGCACGGCGAAGCAAAAAAAAGAAGAACGAAAAGAAGAAAAAAGAAGAAGATGGAGAAGAAATCTCCAAGAAACTGGGCGGAGCATCTTGTGAGAAGGGCACACACACTGACTGACTGACATGAGCACAGGGCGGTCGAGGAGAGCAAAAGATATGCCGACTCTTTAATGTAGTCCCATTTTTGAACTCTCGGTAGATTGAATATGGCTTGTGTGGTCCCGTCCCATTATTTTCTCAATGTGTGTGTGTGTGTGCCTTCTAGTGCTTCATTTTTTTGCGATGACGCACAACAAATAAATGGGTGCCCCGAAATACCTTGGTTCGACCCCCAAGCGGATCCCTCTGTTCAACACATCAATGAATGTAATGAGACACAATTGTTTGATGGGCTCGCCGGGTCGCCTCGGACGACACCTTCGCATCAATTTTTGCCAAACAAGTGTGTGCCCAAAATTAAGTGAGGAGGGGCGGAGCCTCATGCCAATAAGCCCCGCCCACATCATTGGGCATATTTTGTGTACACAATAGGACTCGATAACTCCCTTGGGTTTTAATTAATTGCCGATAAAAATAGATTGGATGAACTCGAGAAAAACGGAAAATAAGGTGGATTACGGTAGCAGCTATTAATAGATGTGAGAAGAGTGTTAAGTGCACACGAAGATAATCAGAAAACGCCAATTTTTTTTTGAACAAAGAATTTCAAGTTTAGATAAATGAAATAAAATTTGACAAAAAAAATGCGGTTTAAATGTGCGAAATAAAAAGAACGATTCAAGATTTGAAGAAAACTCGAAATTTCACGGTTTTTACAATCATTTATATTGTCGCCTTGAAATTCGCGAAATCGGTGTCGATTTAAATTAATCGTTGACTGAATATTAAATGCGCGTATGGTATAATGCAAGGTACGCAATCGTCTTGCGTACTTCTCGCTGCCTCGAGACGCATTGGCGCGTAGCCAATAATTTTTTAAAATTCTTCAAGTCGCTTGACTCCGACATGAAGAAAGTTTAGGTCTATGAAGGTTTTATAAATGGAAATATTCGTTAGCTAATAAATATTTCATTTTCAATAAATAACCAATGAGAAATTAAATTCTGTCCGCAAGATTTTCCATTATTCGGATAACTCGTTTCTTCAACTTTCCACATGGTTTGACCAACCGAGTTTCAAAGTCTTTTGAGCATAATTTTCTTCAATCGTCGTGGGACCAATGCTTTATATTTTTGCGGTTTTTAAATTGACATCTTCAATACTTTTCGACGTAGACAAAATTTCGCACCGCGCACAAAAAAAAAAGTGCGTAGGATTTAATTGGATAATGATTATTGTCAACTTTGGCGGAAATTGGCGAAATGCCAAAAATGGTCTCGATGAGCTGGATGCGCCTTTGGCCCGTAAATCTACACTTAGATTTGAGGCAAGACCACTGCCATAGTTTTTTTTTTTGGAATTTAGCCAATTTGCCGCAATCGTGCGATTTCGAGAATTTTAGGAGATTAAAATATGAAGCAATATCAAATAAAAATAAAAATATTAAATAGAAAATTCAATATTTTTCTATTCTTATTGATAATTTAAAAAAATGTAATACGAGAAATAAGAATAAGGAATTGTGGAAAGAAGTTGTCAAACATATAGAGAGCTCAATTCAAAAATGAGCCACTCATTTTCAACTCTCGCCTATTTCGTTGGCCATTTTTGGAGTGTGCATGAAAAGAAAAAGTGGAATAATGGGTAGAAAGTGACCAATTTCAATTCGGGACCTCAATAACCAAACCCGAATGTTTCGGTGAACTTCCTATTTTTCGTCCGTCAAAATATTGAACTGGTTGATATCTGGTCGAAATATTCCCGAGAGAGTTTTCACGGAATGTCTGCCATTTGTTTGACAATGCCAATGAAATCATGAGTCGCAAATTAATTGAAAAAAAAAAAAACATATTCTAGGCCGATTTTCAATCGAAAATTAATATATGTGTGTAAAAGTCAATCGAAAAAATCTCAAACAGGAAAATATTAGACTTTTTAAAATATTCAAAAAATTCGTTTCAAGAAGAATCATTTCCAAAAAAATTTCCGAAAAAAATTATTAGAGAAATAATTGAATTTAAAATTATAATTTTCTTTCGAATGAATCAAAATTATTAAGGGAAAATGTGTTGAATTATCGAATCCAAATGACATTTGAAAAAAAAAAATAAAAAATATATTGGCTATGTGCCAGTGTAAAGAAAACTACGTGCATTTAATATTCAGCCAACGTTAAATTTACACCTTCGTAAATCTACACTAATTTCTCTAAAATGAAGGTCCCGCAGTCGATTGAAACCGACAATTCAATTAGGCAGGCGTTTGTTGATTTTTGAAACTGAAAAGCCATGCTCGGGAAATATTTCAGTCGCAAATGCAAAAGCACGAGTTTCCGCTTCGATTCCGAATTGGTTTCGAATCGAATATCGCAAAATTCGGCGTCAAAATTGACCGGTTTAAGCTCGAAATTCGTCGAATTCGATTCGGATGGTATCGATCGAAAAACAAAGAGGCGCCATTTCAAAATAGACCCCTGATTCGAACAAAAGAATTCCAAAAAGTAATCGAATACGACGAATTTCGAACCTAAACCCGTCAGTTTCGCGGCTACGATGAGTTTGATTCGCAGGTTATCCAGAGTACGGTACCCGAATTTCCACTGTTTAAATTTCTCAGGCAAATCAAAAATAAAATATTTTGAGAATCAAATATTCAATAATAAGTTCTAAAATATTTTGAGAAATTCTAAAGTCTATTGATACTTTCTAAACACTTATTGAGAATAGAAAAATTAAAAAGAATATTTTTTTAAATCTTTTAACATTTCCAAAAATTTATTGAGCAAATTCTAAATTATCCCAATAAATTCTAAAATCTTAGAATAATTTCTAAAGTTGATTGAGAAAAATCTAAAATATTATAGAGACATGTTAGTTTCTCAATGATTCTCAAAATATTTTATATTCGATTTACCTGAGTTGATTTTGAATTCCCTCCTCAAAACAAATGTACGATGGTCCATAAAAAGTGAAGCAGTTCACGTGAAAACGCGTGGCGAGACCTTTTCAAGGCGCATGCACGTAAATCTACCCGCGTACAGTCGGCAAATATTTTTTTGGTAGGAAATTTGGCAAAAAAATTGATTGAAATAAATTTTAAGAAAAAAAAACCAGTCGACACAAAAATAAAGTGCATTTTACGGGGGGGAAATGTTCAACGAGAAGCGGTTGAAAATTCCCAACATAATGGTTTTTTTTTTTCGTTTTACGCCCACCAAAAAACCTCATAAAATGTGCAAAATATCCGAAAAAATGTCAAATTTATAAGAGTTTTTGTCGAAGAAAACATAAAATGAAAATGTTTGTCGTGAATCAAAAAAAAAAAGAAGAAGTTTTGTCAAATATTCTCGCATAATTTGCATAATATACGAGATTATTCTATACAGTTCAAGACCGTTCCAATTCGGTGTTCGGTTTTTTTGTCGATTCTTAAAATTAGCTTAAAGTGAGGCTCAGGCAAATCGAATAAAATATTTTGAGAAATTCTAAAGTTTATTGATACTTTCTAAAACTTATTGAGAATTGCTAAACATAAAAAATTTTTTTTAAATCTTATATAGTCGGCGTCCGGCCGTCGACTGCTCTACGCGGGTAGATTTACGGGAATGCGTCTTTCTAAATGGTCTCGCAAGGACTAACAGGCTATTTCAAATTTTATGGACCGGTTCGATAATTTTTTAATCGAATATCGTTGGAAATTCAAAGAAATGCGAAACTCATAAAGAAAAATGAAGCAGTTCACGTGAAAACAGCAAAATAAGCATTCACGCGTGGCGAGACCTTTTCAAAGCGCGT